ACGAGGATGACAAGATGTCGCTGATTGCGTAGAGGCCGACGAGCTTAGCTCCGCTGTCGTCGTTCCCTTCATTCCCACCCTTGCTGTCCTCGGCCTCGGGACTGGAGTCCCTCTCTCTGCCGCCATTTTTCCGTTGAGGGTTCGCCCTCGTGGTGGCGAACGGCTTGTCTATGTTAGAGACTATCATGTCCACCACCTCATCTGCTCCCCGACTCGCATGTGTGATTGCGAATGCCGTGATTCTCGCAACATCTCCTTTTCGTATTCTTGATAGCGTTGTCGGTAACCGTGATAGCAAGTGCGCGAGCCTCGCCTTTTCTAACGGGTTGAGAAATGTCTTCTCGACCTCATTCCCCGGCCCATCCCGGTTCCCATCATTTTCCCAGCCTTCATCGTCTGTAGAATGGTAGTCGGGATCAGACGCGAGCTCGTCAATCTCGATAGTATACTCGAACGGCAGCCCCTTGGCTGGCTCTTTCCACGCATGGCTGTCCTCGAAAATAGGGTAGTATTTCTGTCGTCTCGGAACTGATGCCGAACCCGTCACGACTTGCCACAGCTTCCACCTATACCACACGCCGGCCTCTCCCCGAGCGTTCCAGAGCCAAGCCCACTTCTCCTCCCGCTGTACATCCGGGCGCGACATTAGCAGCGCCTCAAACTCCGGGCCGTGTTCAAGGAGTCCCTCTATCACCATGTTGATCATTTGTACCGTTTTTATATCCTGAGGTGGCTGGACGGGAACGTGCATGAGATTGCTTCGGTTAATCGAGCTTGGCGGGCCGTAAGACGTGGGTGGCGCAAACCCGCGATGATGGAATCCACCGTGGTGAGATGAGTTGTTCCCTTGGGAGATGAGTTTCGCACCAAACGGTTGGGACGAGGACGTAGTCGTATTCATTAAAGAAGTCGCCGTCGAAGCAGCCACTGCTGAGGACAGATGACGGTGGATCGAAAGATAGTAGCCAAAGCCCAGGTACCGATTTTGGAGCTGGCTAACCACGGCATCGATTTCCGCCGCGGGCGTCTCCTGCGACAGCGTAACGATGGCGACGGTAGCCTTCCTTTCCGTAGCATTTTTTGCCGTACCAGGCAATATCTTCACGCCTTCCACAGCAAGACTCCCGGGTATCAAAGCCTTGATGGCCGCGGGCGAGATCCCCGGAGGCAGCTGCGAAAGCTGTAAAGTCGGCTTCGCCACCAACTCCTCCTCCCTCCTTGAGCTTCCCTCCGTCTCCTCCTCCTCATCGCTAGCGTTAAACGCCCGCGCGATAGACTTCGTAGGGGCCGTGCCTTCTTCCTCGTACCCTAATACCCCTCTATCGCCCTTCTCCCAGGCTCTAGGCGCATCCTTCTGAAATGCCTCAAAAGCCCTCTTCTTCCCAAACCCCGTAGGCGCCGGTCCCAGAGAACCTGGCCCACTCTTTAGCCCAGACCCGGACTGCACAAAATGTCTTCTCCCCGCGGCTCCGCCTCCTACCGTCGGCGGCTTCCCAGCACCCGGCCGGCCACCGCCGCCGAACGCGCCGCCTCTCGAATGCCGTTGGAACCTCCCACCCACGGAGTCATCATCGTCGCCGGAATTGTGGTCGAAGCTCTTGACAAAGTCCTCGAATACGGCTGCGGTCTCGGCGGCTTCGCGGGCGCGCTTGGCTTCGGCTTCGGCTTTTTGTTTCTCGAAGGCCGATTTTCGGGAGGGTTTTTGGAGCTTCGAGTCGGTCGGGAAGCCGTCTTCAGGACGCTTTCGGAAGGACATTTCTATTTTCTCCTTTGTTGTCTTCGGTGACAGGAGAGTTTGAACGCTGAAATTAGAGATGGAGGGAGGATTGATGGAATGGATGTCGCCGAGTCGAAAGCCAGCATGTGGTGCAAATGTGGTCCGTGCTCACTGGGGGCAAGCTCGCATCACGGTTAAAGGAATACAGCTCAGTATCTACATACACAGGATATAAGGCTTAACCTCCTCGCCAAACATGGAGAATCAGGAGTTCTCACAAATCATTCTTGGTAGTTTATTTCATTGATGGAGCAGTTGATGGAACAGTGAAGCGTTGAACTTTATTCGCGGCAACCAGCTACAGATTTCTGACCAAGTAGCACTCACCAAGGCTCCAATGGCATCATGACCATTCGAGCGCTTGGAAAGAGCAAACCAATTTCTGACTCTTTTCCTTCTCTGGCTTTAAGCCCTTTTAAGACAGTATCTCAGCGATGTAATTCATAAATATTCTATCCAATATATAAGCATCATGCATTCTTCTTCTTCCCGAGCATAGATCGAGCTTAACAACTATGCCCTCCTCTCCAACTCGCGATCCAACAGCATCCCCGGACTCCCGCCTCGACTTCCATCCTCCGTAACAACAGCATCAATGCCATCCACAACGGAAATCTTACCACCCTCCTTCCACCTCCACTTCTCCCTCACGGCCTCAGATCCCTCGCCCGCAATACAGTCAACAATCTTCTCGCCCAGCACCGGGAGGAACTTGTACCCATGTCCGCTGTCGCCCGTCGCCACGAAGACGCCCTTCCACGATGGATGATAGTCGACTAGGAAGTCTCCATCAGGCGTGTCGGAGTACCAGCAGATCCTGGAGGCTGTAAACGGCCTGTCGTGGATAGCCTTTATGGGGATGAACTGCTTCAGCGCGCGGCGGAGGTCGAGCTCAGCTTCGAGCGGAAGGCCGAGCGAAGGGGAATCGACGAGCGTTTTCGGTGCAGATACTCGTATTGTCGTGCTGGTCGCATCCGTGCTTCCAGAGCCGTTGGGGACATTCTTGGGCAGTAGGTTCTCCGCAGGTATATCGACGGGGTTAAGATACCCATAGGCGTGCCTCGCCGCCTTTAGCACCCGATTCCTAGGCGGAATGATGAACAGCCCGGAGCAAAGGTTCAACACAACAGGCATATTCCCAAGCTTCTCCTGCTCCTCCTCGCTCAAATCCAAATACGCGAGAACCTGCCCCGTAGCTGTAGCGAGACCCTTCAGATCAACCAGCGTCCCCGTCCAAGCCCCAGCAGCGACAACAACCAACTCAGCCTCAAGCGTCCTCCCATCGCTAAGCCTAACCCCCTTAACCACTCCCTTCTCATCATCCCTCACCAACCTCTCCACCGTCCCGTTAACAAACTGTACCCTTCCAGTCGCCTTCACCTTCCCAAGCAACCACTCCACCCCTCTCGCCGCATCCGCCCACCCCGACGTCCGATTCAAATACCCCCAATCCCCAACCTTCTCCCCCTCCCCCGTCCCCAACAACTCCTTCAACTTCTCCGCCGACCCCACCTCCACAATCTTATCCTCATAACCCTTCTCCCGCGCAATATCCAACACGTTCGCAAAGCTGCCCTTCACGTAGCCCATCCCCTCCTCATTTCCTTCCTCCCCAACGACTAGCAACCCACTCTCGGAATACCGCCCTTCACCACCGAGTTCTCCGGCTCCTTGCTGCCTCCAGACCTCTTGCGCCTCGGCTGCTAGCCGCGCGTACAGCCCATCAGCGTAGTCCGCTCGCACGATTCGCGAGGAATCCATGCTCGCCGCATCTCCGCTCGGTAGGTCCCCTTCCTTCTTGGAAGTGATGCGGTCGACGAGCGTTATCGTCGTCGAGGCGAAGGCGGGGCGTTGGGTTAGAGCCTGGGCTGTGCTGAGCCCGAAGACGCCGCTTCCGATGATGATGATGGAGGATGGTGGGGTGTAGCCCGGCGTTGGGGCCGATGTGCCTTCGTTAGCCATCCTTCGTCTTGGCTCTTTTTTTCGTTGGAATGATGATGGATGGAGGAGTTAGATAGAGAGAGAGTTGAGAGAGGAAGATTTTGGAGGTTGTCAGTACATCGAAAGCAATCAGACAGTAATATATGATAGGATCGCCGTCAACAGGACATAAGAAGACGCGAGAACCCCTCTTCAACCTCCCCTGGAGGCGAGACCGGCCCGAAGCAAAGCGAAGTGATCTGGCGCAATCTAGCGCACTAGACTCCATTAGGGGACCTTGCGTGGGGTCAAAAGAGATCCCGCTCCGCATCGGAGACTTCCCAAAGGGCGCGAATTGGCGTTCGCGTCGTTCATTCTCGATCAAGAGATTCACCATCTAAACACTCCAGAGAATCGAAATTGAGAGCAGTAATAATCGTCATTCAGCTACCTACTGACACTTCAAGGACGAGCCTCGGGTCTGCCAATTCCAGTCCACGCTAGGCTGATACGAGTTCGTTAATTAGAACTGATAAAGATAACCAGCCTGTGCCGCTCAAACGATGACTTTCCTGCTCCTTGTTCCACAGACCATGCGCGTTTAAGCGCTGCGCTGCCGTAGGCTGCATGCCCGCCACTCCAGGGCCCTGCGCCATTGACTTCTGCTTCTTCTCTACCGCTCAAATGCAGTAACGCGCCTCCTCCTCCTCATACGTCCATTTCTGTATCCTCAAGTCTGCTCCCTTCATGACACTCATTAGGGTTTGCGACTAGGTCGACGTTGTGAGAGAGAAAAAAATGCAATCGACCAAGACACGAGCAATCTATGCATTGCCGTGGGAAAGACAAATCTCTTATTTTTTCCGCCGGAACCAGAGAAAAAAAAATTAAACGCGAGGAAACGAGAGCGCAAAAAAGATGAGGAAAAAAAAGAAAATCTTTTGGCAATAATACCGACCCTCAAACAAGTTTCCGACCTTGATTGGGGTAACCACCTCCTTTGCCAACGCCGTTGCAATGCATGAAAAGAGTTTTTTTTGGGATGGAGGGAACGCGAAGTTGTTACAAATGTCGCAACTCATTCGCCTAACTCGGGTCGCCCCGGAACGGTAAATGAGGCTCACAACGCAGTCGTGGTATCGTAATGATGAATCTAATTGTACAAAAAACAAATGCTGGAGTCGGAGTAATCGTCGAATACGAGGCTCTGTCCTCGTCTCGAGAGAGAGGGTGTGTGTAATCGCTCGAGTCGAGTGAAAGTTGGCTCGGTGGACGTTCCGTCGATCTTGTTCTCGTTGAGAGTTTAGACCTTGCGGAAGTCTGGATGGCGGTTAGCAGGCCTGTTCATTGTGGCAAGTGGACATGACAAAAACGCGAGAGGCGCGAACATACCTTGAAGCACAGGGTAAATCATCTCGAAAGCTTGATAGATCTCCTCACGGACCTTGGCACCAGTAAGAACGATCTTGCCGCTGACGAAAATGAGAAGCACAATTTTAGGCTAGAAAGAGAGTAGGTTAGTGATTTGCTGTCATTGTTGAAGACGTCGGAGCAACCCGTCACAATCTCGGAGGCAACTAACCTTAATCATTCGGTAGATGAGACCAGGGAACAACTCAGGCTCATAGGAGCTGAAATTGTGGTGGCGCGACGCAAGACCCTCGAGCCTAATGGGGAACTTGATGTCGCACGAGCCGACAATGTTCTGGATCTTGAAGTCCGTGAACTTCGAGTTGAAGCCGAGCTTCTGGATGATACGCGCGTACTTGCGGCTAGCAAGCTTCGAGTCATCCTCAGACTTGGCACCAGTGACTACCATCTTGCCAGAGGCGAAGATCAGAGCGGTTGTCTTGGGCTCACGAATTCGCATGATGACAGCAGCGAAACGCTGTAAAGTAATTCAGGTTAGCAAAACTGCACAAGCCATGGACAGCATGCATGATTCGCAGAATCAGGTGTGCTGTACCTTTGGGTTGTACTCTGCATTTCGAGCATGCAGGGCAATGGTCTTAAGATCCCTGGAGACAGAAATGTGTCAGACGAGGGTCAGTCTCCTCGAGTCGCCAAGGGCAACAAAACTTACAGTCTGCAATCGAGGTTGACAGTCGCCACGATGTTTCTTTTGGTTGATTCTTGTAAGCACCAAGCTATATAACACTTGGAATTGGGCGCAAGTGCCCGACAAAAACATTTACGAGTTATACATACTGAAGAGTGGGAGTCAGGCCGCTGGCGCCAGGGTTGGTCGCGGGCGTGGCAGCAGGAGTAGCGGGAGTCACCCCGGTTCCGTTCGCAGGTTGACTTCCATTGACAGCGGGCACCTGGCCATTAGGCTTGACGTCTGGTGTGGTCCCATTCAGAGCATGCTGGCTATTGGGAAAGGCAAACGAGCCGGGTTCCATAAAACCCTTGGCTTGGGCGGCATTCGAGGGATGGGTTTGGATGGTCTCCATGATGACAACTTCTAGGTATTCGATGGAATAATCGCTATATTTCGCTCGAATCGGCGAACTGACCTATTTTGGTCCTAGTCAGCCATTCAGTCCTTGCACTCATGAGAGATGCGGATGCGCAAACCAAGACGCTAATCGAGTGGTACGCTGGGAAGAATGCTTGGGTGATGGATGATGGCTCTAGAACGAGGTTTGGGGGGATGCAGGGGGAGGAAGAGAAGAGGGAGCGAGAAAAGTGCCAATAAATAGTTTTTTTCCTTCCTGTGGCGACTTGTGGGATTAGGGAACGATTGATGGAGGAAGGCGCGGAGGCTCAATAGAATGAATGGCTGATCGATTCGTGGTGAATCACACAACCCTCTGAGCTCCCTCGCTCTTTCCGCGATAGTCTTGAGGATGCCGGGTTTGATGCCCAGTATCATCAAGGGTAGGGGACGCTATGAAAGAACAACATAACACAACAGAAACAAAACACCTACCGGATGTGGAGATGAACAAGTAAATGTCTCCCCGATAGTGGTCGTTCAAGAAATTGGGATGCGAGAAAGGACTTTGATAGGAGATCCTCGCAATGGTTCGGAAGAGATAGAGGGGAATCTCAGGAATAGGAACGATCGTGAGAGAACCTCGAGGTCAATCGTTGCCAGAAGATGGGGGGAGATGGAGGTCGGCTATGGCTAGCGAAGCTCCCAAGAGACGGCGCAGAACTCGGCAGAGAGGAAGAGAGATGAGGCAGGAGAGATATAGACTCGAAACGCTGTTCTTTGCGAGTCTTCTTCAATTCTTCTTTTTCTTTTGGCTCAACGGACAATCTATCTTCCTACTGATCTTTACAAATGCGCAAAGACCGGGGCGGGAGTAGAGGGAGGACGATGGGCGACTGTCTCTTGTGGGTAGCTCGACCGTCTCGCTCTCGCTGGACTCAAAAAAGTTCGTCCGCAAAGAAAATCCGCTGCGCAACCGGTCCTTAATTGGCGCTTCCTTGACAGGAAAAGGAATGACGACGGTGTTCGGCGGGAGAGGAAAAAAAAGGAAACGTGTTCCAGCTTCTTTTTTTTCTGTCCCTTTCGAAGGCGTTGCCTTGCAATGGTGGTATCACCGCTTCGTCGTCGAAAACGCTAAATCGCCCTTTCAGGAGAGAAAGAGAAGCGATCTTCTACTTATCCCGAGATGAGAACCTTCAGGTGTGTGTGGAAGAGGAAGGGAGATGAGGGAGGAGAAATTCGGATATCGCTGGGAGTGTTTGAATTCCACAGGATAAAAACTCGCTCCGGCGCAGTGCGCTTTAGATGAGAAATTCCAGTGAAGGAATCAACTCTGCACCGCTCTGCAATTGTGGGGAGTTGGAGGAGATTGGAAGATCAGAGTTCGGGCCAGGAAAGACAGGCAGACGAACCCCAGAATTAAACCTTGGTGAGGTTATTGAGGTAGGTGGTGGAGATGGAAAAAAGAGGGTAAAAGAAAATGATTATTAAGAATGGATAATTTCGGGCCAAACGTATTGGACACTACGTAGGCCTCAGGTCGGTACTTCCGCGCAAGACTTTCGAAACAGAAGAGTTGGGGGGGTGCCCGCTACTTATATATTTTCGATGGGCCCCGCTGCCTTGGGCAGTCACTACTGGGGCGACAGAGCTAGTGGCAATTTTTGCTTTGGTGTCCAACCTTGCCCTTAGTCGCCGGGCTATCGGTGGGTCAGCCAATCAGATCCGTCTATTCCGTCCATTTCTCACTGGACCCCCTGCATACCCACAAGTATCCCCATACCACAGGTTTTGTACAGACCAAGTTGCTCTCGCTTGCCACTGTATTTGTCTGGGTGCAGCCCGGAGACAGCGTTTGGTCCGTTTGATCAGGTCGTATTCCAGATTTCTGTCAGAGGTACCGAGGTACTTTATACTTGTACTCTCAGACTGCTTTTTGTCTCGTGCTTTCTTCTTTGTGCTTCCTCATCATCATTTCCTCGCTCCAAATCCTCTCAACTCTGTTATTAACTCTCCTTCGTTTCTCCTTCTCCCCCATCTTCACTTTTTCTCTCTCGTCCTCACCACATCATCGCCTCTCCTCTTCGATAATAGGAGTTGTTATCAATCATCAAGAGATATAAGGATATGGAGGAGGACGCAAATGAGCCGCTCTGGCTATTCCAAATATCCATTTCAGCAATTTCTGGAAGAGACGATGGTGGGACCCTCAGTTGGACTCGGCTTGCCTTCACCCTATGATTCTCTCTCCTCCCACGTCGCGTCGCGCTGGACACGCAATCAGACACACCCAGCCACAGTCGCATTTGGCCGCCACCAGTCGCGACTTTCGCTCGCCCCACCCAAAAAGATAGTCCCTCCCCAGCCGACACCTCCCTCCCTCTCATCCCCCCTTTTTTTCCTTCTGTTCCCCCCCCCTTTCCACCCTCTGAAACACTTTACCGGCCCCTATCTTGATGCTTCCCCTTCTTGATCATCGACCTTCTCGTCTGCATGCCTTCCTGCATCACCTCCTTGAAATAATTTTCTACGACTCCCGTCCGCTCTTCCCCTAGCCATCGAACGCTTAGCAAAAAAAATGCGATGACCCGCAAGATACATCCAACGAGCCAACGGCGCTCGTACTTCGTATTTCTCTGAGATTCGGTTGATTTCTTTTCATGCGGTACTCTTTTGCTGCTAATTTCCCGTGCTCAGGGCTGCGCAGACACCGGACAAGGTTGCCTCTCGAATCCGTTCCAGACTAATTGTGAGTCATGGCTTTTTGGGTCACGTCACCCGAACTCAGCCAATCAGAGGCCGAGAAAACTCTGATGGCAGAACCTCGGAGCAAAACTTGATAAAGCTTTTTGTCCAATCGCTCCGTCGTGTGCGCGACTAGTCCGACTTGTACCACCAGGCTCCGGGCGGATTGTTTGACCAGCCGTTTTGTTATGCTGCTGCCTGCATTCCCAGTGGAAAATCTCTTTTTCTCATCTTCTCTCTCTCGGGGTGCCCAGAGCCTTCGGGCAGCGTACCATCATAGACCGCGACACAGATCGTGAAAGAAGATTCTTGGACCTTGCCGTCCTCCCTTCATATATGCTGGATTCGATATTGTTGCAATCTGGAGTTGCAGGCTGACAATCCTCATTTCGGGTCCCCCTTGTATTACAGCGCAAACCACGGACCATGGAGAATGGTCGAAATTTTTTATCCCTGCCTTGGAGGAGACAAGGGGGGAGCAGGAGCCCCGTACTTGTACAAGGGGAGGCTGGTTGCTTTTCTCAAGACCTCATCCAAGTACCGCACTAACATATTTTCCCAATCGCGAGGAACCTGCCAAGTATGAGTTTGCTATCTTTCCTGAATGCATCATCCAAAGAAGGCCCACTGAATCATGCAGCCGAGGATCTTGTATAGCGTTGCTTTTAACACCACTGATGTTGTCTTCTGGCCTTTCCTGGTATTGAACCCTGCCGTCGACTCCCAAGAAGCACTTCGCACAATCTCTGATGTACATGGAGATTGGTAGTTTCTGTCAACACTAACGCTTCTAAAGTTATGAACAATGAAGCAAAAAACTGCGGTGTGACGCAAATTTTAGTCCAGGGCTTTTTTTTTTTTTTTCCTCTCTCCTCCATTTTCTGACGCTCATTGTTAGGGGAGTCCACGCCAAGAAATAGGGGGAGGAGAATTGCGCTCTGATCTTCCCCCAGAAATATTGACGCCGGAAAATTTTTAACCTTCTCACATAAATGGAAGGATGGTGTAAACTACGTACCCCGGCCCCAAAAAAACGAAGTTTGCGCCTCTCGTTCTGAATTTTTGGGATTGAAAGCTAGCTCCATGGCGATGACGTTGTCTTGGCGCAATTGGCAGCCTTGTCCGAGAAGTGGACAAATTCGCTGCAGGAAATGTGTCTGAGCTTTAGAAAAAGCCAAGTTTGTCACTGGACCCCGGATTGGGAGGGATGCCATAATAATATTGTTATATACACTTTTTTTTTATCTTGGTTTATTCTCTTTTTGCCCGCAAGGGCTCTTGTGTGTATTGGATGCAAGAATCTATCCAATCTGTGACGATATCAAAACAACTTTCTTCTGCTTCTCTCCCCCTTCCCTTCAATTCAGAATAGACATACACCGGGGACAGAGGGGGAAGAATAAAAGAAAACAGAAAGCCAGGAGAGATGAGAGGTTGACATCAGAGGTTGAAAACATAAGAAGGAAAACAACTCCTCAATCCAAAGCCCTGCCGCCGCCCCGAAAATATGTATAAATAAGATACCCGGTCCTCTCCGTGGATGGTTTTCTTTCTTCGTGTGTGTGTTTTCCTTCTTTTATCGGGTTCTTGTTGTCCTGTTTATGTCAAGTAGTACTTGGGGCCCTCACCTCCTTGAGGCACGGTCCAGTTGATATCTTGTTGAGGAGCCTTGATATCACATGTCTTGCAGTGGATACAGCTAAAACAACATTGTTAGTTTAAGTAGCTTAGGGGAATGAAGGATGGCAGGGTGAGAATCACGAGAGAGAACTTACTTTTGCGAGTTAATCTGGAACCGAACACCTAGCTCCTTCGACTCGTCCTCGATATACTCGTACACACCCGCGGGACAGAACCGTGCCTCCATGCCCTTGAAAGGCGGATACGCCGCCTTAGCATGCGCATCCCAATCCTTCACTTGCAAGTGAACAGGCTGATCTTCCTCATGGTTGGTACCCGTGCGGGACACGCTTGTGAGGATATCAAAGGTAATCTTGCCATCGGGCTTCTCGTACTCGATCTTAGGGAACTGGTCCGCCGGCCTCGTCGACGCGTAATCGGGCTTCTTATGCTTGAGCGTCCAGGGCGTGCGTCCCTTGAAGACGAAGGCCTCGAGGCCGGAGTACGCGACGCCGCCGTAGAGGCCGAGCGGGTTATGGAACGAGGGTCGCATGTTGCGCACCTCCTTGAGCTCCTTGTAGATGCTCGACTTCTTGAGCGTGTCCTCGTACTGGAAGAGGTACACGCCGCTCTCGTCGCCCTCGGAGAGAGCCGCGTATGTGGCCTCGGCGGCAAGGATTCCGGACTTCATGGCGTTGTGCGTACCCTTGACCTTGGGGACGTTCATGAAGCCCGCAGAGTCACCGATGAGCGCGCCGCCGGGGAAGATCACCTTGGGGATCGACTGCAGACCGCCCTCGACGAGGGCCCTGGCGCCGTAGGAGATGCACTTGCCACCCTCGAGGACGGACTTGTAGGTGGGGTGCAGCTTCAACTTCTGGAACTCCTGGTAAGGGGAAATCCATGGGTTCGCGTAATCTAGAGCCACCACGAGACCGAGGGTCACAAGGTTGTCGCCGAAGTGGTACATAAAGGCTCCGCCGTAAACGTCCTTGGATAAGGGGTATCCCATGGAGTGGGTGACACTGCCCTTCTTGAACCTCTCGGGCTCCACCTCCCACACCTCTTTTATGCCGAGAGCGTACGTCTGGTGCTGGCAGTCCCGTCGGAGGTCAAACTTCTTGATGACCTGCTTCGTCAAGCTACCGTGGCAACCCTCACCGAAGAGGGTCACCCTAGCGTGGAACTCCATACCCCTCTCAAACGAATCCTTAGGCTTTCCATTCCTGCCAATGCCGACATCGTTCGTAGCCACACCCTTGACCGTGCCGTCGGGGTGGTAGAGCACCTCGGCGGCGGCGAAACCGGGGTATATCTCAACCCCGAGTTCCTCGGCGCGCTCGCCCAGCCACTTCGTCACCTGGTTCAAGCTGACGATGTAATTGCCGTGGTTATTCATCTGCGGCGGCATGGGCAGCGGTATCGCCATCGTCTTGGTGAGGAACCGCATGTGCTCCTCCTCGGCGGGCGTCGCGAACTCAAACCTGTCGGGGTTCGCCTCGTCCAGCCAATCCGGGAACAGCTCCTCCATGGCCGTGGGCTGTATCACGGCGCCCGACAGGATGTGCGCGCCGATCTCGCCGGCCTTCTCCAGGAGTAACACCCTAAAGTCCTCGTTGCCGGCCTCGTTGGCCATTTGCTTGAGCCGGATGGCCGCCGACAGACCGGCCGGTCCGCCACCCACTATACACACGTCCACCTCATCGGATTCACGCTCGATCGTCGCGGGGTCGAAGGGCTCGTCGTCGTCGTCATCCCTCCGAGGTCGGGTGGTGGAAAAGGTACGAGAAGCCGCGGCTGTGAGGGCCGGGTAGAGCCGGATTGAAGAAGGAGATGAAGCTGTGAAAATGGCGGCTCCGGTTCGAAGCGGGAATCGTGGCCGAGTCCGTTGCGTTATTTGCCGTGCAGGCCTAGCGAGACACCTCAAGGGAGCTCGCGAAGCCATAATACCCGAGGTGTGCGATTGGGGGCCCTTTGCTTTATTTTTTTTTTTCTCTTTAGGGCAAAGGAGAGAGGGGTGTGGGTGTGGGCGTGGGGTGACGAAAGAGCTCGGTAAAAATGTTTTATGTTTTTTCGTATCTCTTAAAAACAAGATGTTTCCTTTCAACAATTGAAAATAAACAAAAAGGCCAATTCAATTGAAAGAAAGTTGGAAGAGAGTTCGACCAGAGCCCACACTCCTAGCCCTTTACTAGCAAGTGTATAAAAAAAAAAAAAAAGGACGGAGGACGAGAAGGGGGAAGCAAAAAAAGAAGTTGAAGAATTGGGGACCGCGGAGGGGTGTTATGGACTTTCCCCGGCCCACGGTACTAGAGTTGTGAGTCTAACTGGGGTCCGGTCCTGCTTGTCCCTCGGCGCCTTCCCCAAAGCACCCCAAAATGCGATGAAGTCATCAAAATTTCTCCCCCGTCAATTCGACAATTCGTCCCTTCCCATTACCTTTTGCCGAGAGAAGCCGGCGAGATTTGGCACTGTGGGATCTCGCACTTTTCTCGGTAAGATCCTTCCCAAAAGGGTGCTCCAAAAATGGGGTTACACTGTGTGGATGATTGTCTATTCCCGTACTGTACCTTGGTTGTTCTGGCAGGAACGAATCGGGAGGACACGCCTCCTCATAAGAGAATATCCGCCGGCGTTGATTGGTTGACTCCTTCGCGCCTTGGCAAGCCCCCAACGATATCCCCAATTTCTTTCATCTTTCCCCAGTTTGGGGTAGCTCACGCGATCCGGGGTCGGACGTACGGACTATGCGGGGACACCTTCGACTATTGAGAGAAAAATAACAATCAGATAGGGCTAGTGGAGGGCATGCGGACCATTTTACTCCGTCAACGTACGTTGGAGGGAGAGGAGGCGCTTTAATCGACGCGGGGTCGCTTTTTCCGGTCTCTCTCTTCTCCAACGCCTAGGAAACGGAGAAAGACACAAGAACCATCAGATGAGCAGGAGGGGTCGAAAGGTGGTATCCCCGAACAAGAACGGAAACAATGGAACAAAATCTCAGTTACTCCCCTCTCCTTAGAGGCATTGAGGGATATCGACGGTTCTCAAGTCCCTAAACCATCCATCCAGCTCCTTTCGTGAGGAAAACTAGGCGGTAGATCCTCATCCGCCGTCCCCCAATTCCCTTCCTCAGTCCCCACCACGAGCTCAAGCTCGCCCCCTCCCGAGAAGAAATCATGCGATATCCAATTCCTGGTGTACGGCTTCCCATCCAGCGTCGCGCTCTGTATGTATATCCCTCCTTCTTCCTGCCCCGCGGCCCACACCCTCCTTATGACGGCCGGCCTCGGGCCCCCACTCTTAATCTTGACCTCGGGGAAGAAGGGCGCCGTAAGCAAGTAGACAGACTGGCCAGCCACGGGGAAGAACCCCATCAGGGACATGGCCACGAAGGCTCCCATGGCGCAGTCGTCGTTGCCCGGGATGCCGTTCACCGACGCGTTGAACTGCGCCGGAATATACTGGTTCACCCAGTACGAGCTCCGTCCGGGCCTCCCAGCGTAATGGAATTGAAACACCGTCAAGTAGGACTGCTCATTCCCCATGTCCGCGATGCCCGAGCTGTGGTAGTAATCCAACCTGTCGAAAAACTTCTGCTTGCCCCCGAACACCTCCACCAGGCCCTTCATATCCTGCGGCGCGTAAAAGCTATACAGCCAGGGCGAACCTTCGTACGTCGACTGCGCCGTGTCGAAATAGCACTTGTGCGGCTCGTACACGGGGCTGCACATCCTCGTGGTCTGGTACTTGAATGTGCCGTCCTTGAAGCGCGGCTGCGGGAACCCCTTGAAGTTTGTACGCTGCACGTCGCCGTCCGCGTCGTGATAGAGATCTTCTTGCTCGGGATTCCATATGTTGCGCCAGAAGCCGCTGCGGTTCATGTACTTTGCGAAATCGGTCTCGTGGCCGAGTTCCTTGGCAAGGGTAGCGATAGCAAAGTCATCGTAGGCATATTCGACGGTGCGGGAGACGGTGCGGCTGTGAGGTCCATTACCTTGGAGGTCCCGGTCATCGACGGGGATGTAGCCGTATTGTTCCCAAGCTTCGATATTGCCTCGGCCTTCGAGGCTCCAATCTTTAGGAGTGACTGCAGAAGAGGTTTCGTTATGAGTTAAATGATCTGCTTCAAGGAGGTGCGAGTATGTGCGTTACCTTCAGCGTCAGAGATGACGGCTTCATAGGCAGTATCCCAGTCTATTCCCTCCGTGACACCCTTGATAAAGGCATCTGCAATAACGACGTCGGCATTCGAACCACCCTACACACGCTCTGTCAGCCCAAGGTCTCATTTTTTTTTTCTTTCTCTCTCTCGAATTCAAAAAATCAGACACAAACCTGAGTGAACCCCTTGCTAAAACTCATCCTACAATCCGGCAACTTCCCCTCATGCCGATAAATGTCAATCAGAGCCCTAACCATCTCCGCCTGCGCATTCGGATCCAAAATCGTCAAAAGCGGATGCTGAGCCCGAAACGAATCCCAAATGCAATAAAATGAGTCGAAATACGGCTCCTTTGACTCCCACAGCGGGTTCTCACCCGTGTAATTCTGCGGCGACAACATAGATCTATACAGACCGGACCAAAAAATCGTCTGCATGTCCGGATGCACGCCCCTGGTATCCAGCTCCACGACGCTCAGCTTCTCGCTCCAGATCATCTCCACATCCCTCACAGTTCTGTCGAAATCAAAATCTGGAATCTCCGCCTCGGCGTTGGAACAGGCTTGGTCAACCGACACGAAGGACATGCCCACGCGGGCGACAATCTGGTCACTCTCCTCAGGTCTCTCAAACTGCACCCACGCGCCGCCGGAACCACTAGGGTTCTGGAAGCCGCGGTCGACGGCATTGAGGTAGGTAGTATCCGCACGGGCTTCCTTGCCGATGAACGTGCCGAGACGACGAACAGCAGCGCCGCGGAAATCAGCGCAAAAGTAGGCCTGGTAGGTTCCGCGGCCAAAAGAAGGCATGAAGGTACCCTCGCCGATAATGCGGCCGGATTCGGCGTAGACTTGACACCCGGCGGAAGCGGAGAGGGATGTCTGGCCGAGATCCTGGAGGTCGATTAGGAGGAGGGGGCTGATGGGAGGGTTAGGTCGGGTGTCGCGCGAGATGGAGGTGTCGTCTTGGGTGGAGGGGAAGGTGAAACGATAGAGGGCGGTGCGGGTGGAGGCGGTCATTTCGGCGCGGACGTTATTGGTTAGGTTGAGTGCGAAGTAGCCGACGTGGGCTTCGGCGGTGCCGGGGACGCGAGGGAGCATACGGTCAGTGATTGTGTAGTTGCATTGGGTGTAATCGTCGGAAGGACAGCCGGGATGGGCGAAGATGGGGAAGTTGCCCATGGAGGGACTCTGCTCTTTTGTTAGTATGGGTTCCTGCATGCGTGCGTGGCAGGTGTTAGTGGGAGTGGTGGATAGCACTTACACCCCCAGTTCCTAATATACGTGTCAGAGAATAGGTGAGCTACTATGGGCAAGGAGGGCAGGATTATTACATACCCGAATCGTGAAGATGAGAGAAGCCGCCGATAGGTGAGTCGTCGGATACGAAGCCAGCAGCATTCTCACCACGGATCATGGAGTCTGGACAGGGCTTCGCCATCCCTATAACACCACAAGAAATCGCCACGAGAAAATAAGCCTAGGTTCACAAGGAGTTTCTCAAAGATGTGTAACATACCATATGGATGCGTCGGTCCGGGAAAGACGTGGCCTTGAGTAAACCGAGTTAGTCTCCCGTCCAGCCAAGCAGCAAAGCTGCTCTCGGCTGCTTCCCCGTCTCCAGACAAGCTCACCTCCATTGATGGTTCCAATCAGTGGGTTGACATATTGCAATATATCAGGGCGGTAGCCGCCGTTCAAAGACCAATCCATCGGCAACATCCAAGAGTATCGCGATTCTTGTAGAGGGTTATACCGGAAGAGGAGGAAGCCAAAGACGACCACCAACGCCAACAGGCGCAGCGGTCGTTTGAAATCCATGCCGATCGAAAGCAGCGCCATTGTTTTTGCTTTTCCCCTTTGCTTCCCTTCCTTTCGCCAAAGACACCCGCCGAGCTGTGGGGACTCGTGTCACACCAAAAGCTTGAGCTCGGGGTTGAGCTGCCAATGAGGATCCGATGACTCGGGACGAGACAGCGATGTTGCGGGAGCGGACAGGAGCCGAGTTTCCCAACGGGTCCTTGCAGCTTCAGGGGTCTAGGTCCGACATGAAGACGTAAGCTTGGAATATCCGCGGAAAACACAGATGGGTGCAGTATTGTGAGAGGCGGCGGGTTATGTTAACATGAACGAAGAAGCCCGCACCAAAGCCCGCACCAAAGCTCGTATTGGAGGACTAGCTCAACTTTATCCTTCTTCACACAACGCGAGCCAAGCCCAGTCCATGAACCTTGCGAGCAAAACGGGTGCGTCTAGGAAGTCGCAAGTTAAAGACACCGTGAGTATAAATCAAGGGTGGAAGGTAAAATATGTAGAACCAGGCAAGTAAGACCGCCAACCTGAGCGCTCGACGCCAGACCGACAAGAAGACAAGAAGAACGAGACCAAGTCAGGCTGGAGCTCGTTAAGTCTCTTCTGAAACGGAAATAACAGGTTTCCATTTATCGTCGCTTTGTGGTAATTGAGCGAAGCGGCTGTCACCAAAAGCCCGTGCAGCGCAGGCCAAGACCAATGCGACTTTACGGCCGGACAATTTATTTAGCTATTAACCCGTTCGAGAGCTTCCGACTGCCGGTGCTACTTTGAATTTGAATATTCTCTATACACTTCGCACTTTAATGGGTGTAGGGAGATGTAAGCGTGGAGGGATTGGAGGATAATCCCGGCTATATTGCCGTTTCATTGCTCCCCAGCTCAAGGATTGAGGATTGAGAATCGATGGCGTGTCGTTTGATGCATTACATCTATTTGGCCAGTCCAGTTCAATAATCCACTGATGGACAAGCCTTGTCAGTTTTCGGACCTAATGTACGAAGTACTCCCATTTGGTGCTTGCAGCGGCGGGCTTAAGATGAAATACAAGGACATCGATACCGAGATACTAGAGAAACCCGTTGCGCTTTCCAGGCGGATTCTGGACAGGCATGAAGAACTCCAAAGTCCCAAGTCGGAAAGGTCTGTTCAAGTGGCAACCTGGGACGCCCAAGCTCATCTCTAAGACTCGGTACATTCCAACTGTCAGGTTGATGTCTATCTCTTGGTCCTGACCGGAACCTGCTACTCGATCCCCGAACATCTGTTCCCGCCTGAGAGTTCATACCGATCCTCAGTCTACATAGAGACGCGAACCCCAATCCAGCGCCACCGTCGCCAATCCCTAACAATGAACCCCACCCTCGCCTCACCATTCTGGCCATCGTCGGTCTTGATTAGCTGGTTCGACGTCCTCACGAGACTTGAGCTTCCGTATCAACGTTGGCGGCTGGCGGTCTGGTGTCATGGACGGTCTGGTCTGTCTATCGAAACCGAAGCTTTGGGGTGACAAGAATTGCGTCCTCGTGTTGGTTCCCAGGCACGTCAATTAACATTTGCTAAATATCATCATAACTAGTTTCCGTCCTTTCCTTTTTTCTTTTCCTTCTTTTTTTCCTTTTTTTTTAAAAATAAATAAATATATATATATATATACATATACAATTTTGAAGTATTTTACTTTTATCCACCTAGAAGGATTTCCTGGAGGATTTTGGTATGGTTTCATCACCATCAGCAGGCTTCACAGCCAGTTTTGAGTCTACCCACTTCCACTCTTGGTGTATTATTTCGAAAGGCCGGAATCTGGGGTGATAACCATTGATCAACTATCCGTGATTCGCCCTATGCGCTAGGAACCTGCAGGCAAGGTTTCTAGACTGCTTCTTTGGTGTTTGTGGCTTATACTCTTCTGGGAAGACTTGGACCGCAAGCATCCAGCCCTTCTAATGAGAAGAGCCATTTCTCTTGATGGCATACTGGTGAATTTACAGGAGCACAAGGGCTATATCACCATGTGTAGGATTAATCCGACGCCGTGATCAGCGAGATAAGCCGGGGTTGCATTTCCTTTACAAGTTCCATCTTGGATAAATGCGAATCATTCCGGGTGGCGCTTAATATAAGTGTCTGCCGAATCCGTATGTCTCTGTTCTCTAGGAACCGGTTACTAGTTAGCTACTCTATACCAGACACTGAAATAGCTGTCCTCATGAGGATTTCGCCTGCGGCCGCACCTAGGGCTAGAATTGAGTTCGTTGATGATTTTGGCCGCGAGCCTCTGGAAAGTGAGACAGGCGTCCCCCGAGACATGGCATATAGGCCAGCTGTTCATTCTCTGTGCTTTCCTAAGTCACCGTCGACGATAGAAGAAAAATAAAGAGAACCTAACTGTCAACTTGCCATCATGTCTTCCTCTCCACGCCGACTGCTGCCCCTCCCACTCGTCTCGCTCCTCTGGGTCGCCCTCGGAACAGCTACAATCCCACAAGACTGCCAAAAGTACGACACCATCTCCAGCTTCGCGAACCCTCCTCTGTCCGAAGGGAAGCATGCGCTACCCTACCAACGCCCCGAGCCGAGATGTCGGACCTTTAACTCGACGGAAGTCGAAAACGTAATCGAGCAGATGAGAAAGGAGATAGTAGATCCCGATCTGTTTCGGCTCTTTGAGAATACCTTTCCAAACACGCTGGACACGACTATATCGTGGAAAGGATTCGCCAAAGATGACCCCGAAGAAGACGTAAGTTGAGTCTGGTAGGAAATGCGCACATTCGCCGAACTGGGCGTGTTTAAAGAGAGATCCTCGTCCAAGCTAACACAGATCTATCTCATTAGTTGACTTTTGTAAGAACCGGCGACATCAACGCCATGTGGCTCCGCGATAGCGCCAACCAGCTCCAAAGCTACAAGTCTCTCCTCAAACCCAACTCGTCCCCCGACTCCCTCGCCTCCCTCTTCCGCGGCGCCATCAACCTACAAGGCCGCTACATCCGCGAATCGCCCCACTGCAACGCCTTCCAACCGCCCTTGGAGGCGAGCCTCGGGCCCGAATACAATGGGTGGGTAACCTCCGACTTCGTGGTCCCGCGTTTCTCTACAGATTTCGTGTTCGAGTGCAAATACGAGCTCGATTCGCTGGCGGCGTTCTTGCAGTTGTCGCACGATTATTACAGCCAAACGAAAGATGTCGGCTTTTTCAAGAAGACGAGGTGGAAGGATACCATTTCCATCATCGTGGAGACTACGTCGGAACTGCTTACGGGGACCTACGCCTCGGATGGGACGATTAACAAGTCGCCGTATATATTCGAGCGGAAGACGAATAGGGCTTCGGAGACGATGTCGAATGAAGGCGCGGGGGCGCCCGTGAAGAGCAATACGGGGTTGATACGGAGCTTTTTTCGGCCGTCGGATGATGCGTGCACATTTCAGCTTTTTATTCCCGCGAATATGATGTTCTCGAGGTATCTTGCTGCGTGCGCGGAGATTATGAGGGAGATTGATGTGGAAGTTGCCGAGAAGATGGATGGGTTTGCGGGGGTTGTGAGGGCGGGCGTGGAGAGGTATGGGAAGTTTAAGCATCCGGAGTTTGGCAAGATGTATGCGTACGAGGTGGATGGATTCGGGAGTCGTTATCTCATGGTAAGTGAGGAGAAGAAGGCTTCTATCCGACTCTCCAACATGCAGGGGGAAACTGAGTCTAAGCTGAGAAATTAGGACGACGCCAACATACCGAGTCTTCTAAGCGCCCCGATGCTCGGCTACGTCGACATGAAAGACCCCGTGTATCTGAACACCAGACGCTTCGTCCTCAGCACCGAGAACCCGTACTTTATGTATGGGCCGGTCCTCAATGCGACCGGCGGTCCCCACATCGGACCGGGGATGGCGTGGCCTATGGCCCTGATCGTGCAGTTGCTGACTTCGGATAATGATTTCGAGATTGAGATGGGAATCCGGCAGCTGCTGTCGTCGACGGATAATCTTGGACTGATGCATGAGTCCATCCATGCTCATGACCAGCATCGGTGGACCAGGTCCTGGTGAGTGATTCGAATTGAGACGGTCATGGCCTGGCTTGGCTTGGCGGTATTGGTACGTTTCGGGGCTAACAAGTTCATTGTTTTTTTATAGGTTTGCTTGGGTGAACGGGCTATTCGGACAGATGATTCTGGATTTGAGGGAAAGGAAGCCGCATCTTTTGAGGCTCACCTACCAGTAGAACATTGCTACTTAGATCGGAGCAGGAGCTCCCGGAGTATATAACAACGGCTTGATTATGGCAATAGTAGCCTCCATCTCGGAGGGTGTCCAAGAACATCCTGGCACATCTGATGGGTACTTCTGGTTCGAGTAAAGAACATCGAAGCTTGATTCGGTCAAGACGGATTGTAATTTAAACTTTGTTGAATAACGTTCTATTCCACCGTCTCCAAGTATCTCATCTCAGCAGAGCGTGGCAAGAGTACTTGGTCCTCCTCATTCAATGAAGGAGGCTTGCCATGGATTTGGATGACATGAATTCCCAAGAACGTCCAAGTGTACAATCGTGTCAAGTATACTCCAGTACTGGGCTCGGGTCAAGTTGGCTGATCTGATATATTTTTGATCAAGGTTGGATGATATTGAAGACTGGCAGGAGGACGGACAACCTCGAACCTAATATCAAAGCCAAGATTCCCTTCGGTCCTCCAGCTCCGTAAATCACATGAAACCATCATTGATCGAATATTTATGTACATAGCTTCAACTGGGTGGAAGAGCGATCAACGATCCGGGATCACTTCCATTTACTGAACAGTTGAGTAATTGCTGTCGTCCATCAATCATCATCATCCATCAATCTACGAGCACATCGCGCCACGAGAGGCCAAACCTGGTTGGGTTGCTGATGCTTTTGTGAGCATTTGAAGTGCGAGTGCGCATTGCGCATTTCGGTCTAGCGAGCTCGTCTTTTTGGCGTGCTCAATGTTGTAAGCTAACAATATCGACATTGCCACCGTCTATTATTTGTCTGCCAGCGTCCGACTTCCACCATTTTCCACCCATTTCTTGCTCCGAACCCGCCGTTTCCTTCCCGTCATCTTTTTCCCCCCAGACAAGAATTAATAATTGTTTTCTTTCCAAAAAAATCCAGGGATTTGGCCTTGACCCTTGTTCCTCTCAAAGCTCTTGGAACCTAATTCTGTATTTTCTGATTGGGAGTAATTTTGGCGAGCATCTGCACTTCATTCGACGTCGTTGCCTCTAGGATTGTGCGGGGCCCTACTTCACCTTCAGCAGCTCCCAAGACCATAACCACACCAACCATTTGATAGCTCAGACTGACTGCAGCTTGACACCGACAACGCCCAACCTCGATCATCCCTCGAACAAACTGCCCCTCCCCCACCCGCCTCCGCCTAGCCCGACCGGCCTGGTACGAATTGTTTCTTTGCAGGTCTCACCTATCGAAACTCGCCTGCTCACCAATCTCTCCAACCCCCCAAGATAGCGTCCGCCGAACAAAGCATGCGCAATGAACTTCCAGACCTTCACCGGCTCTTCTCGCCGTCCTCGCAACGTTAACCTCAGCGGCCAGCCCAGCAACCCAAACCCCTTCGCCTCGACGTCATGGAACCGACCTGGCGACCCCAGCAGGACCGTCTTCAAGGCCCAGGCCGACCGCCAGCAGCGACAGCGTGAGAGGGAGAGGCTACAGGCTGCGAGGACCATACAGCGGGTGTACCGGGGTAGTGTGGCGAGGGCTCAGGCGCGCGAGCTTCATCGCTCCCGGTTTGACCGGATATACGAGTCCCTCCCCGGCACGGGTGATGCAGCTCTACGCGTACGGAGGGCCTTTCCGGATCTTGTGACGTCTTTCGAAGTTTCGAACAAGGATGATGTGAAGAGGTTGGATCGACTGTGCGGTGACCTGGAGACGGTTGGAGTGGCGTCGCTTTCGAACCTGTCTTCGTCTCATGTCGCTCGATTCTTTGGACACCTACTGAGTGCGCTCGAGAAGACGGTACGAGACGATTCACACTCGGATATATCATCGAGGCTCAACATCCTTGCCTCCTTGATATCAATATTCCCCGCCGCGACACTCAGTGCCGACCAACCCACGAGGTTCTATACCCTGATGGCGGGGTTGTCATCCGAGTCTAAGCTCTCGCCTTCCGATGCAGCTGCGGTTACAAGAGCCTCGTTGGCTCCTCTGCAGGTGCTGAAGTCCCTACAAGGTAAGTTCTCAATATCTTCCTTACGAGCTCTCCAGGCACCTAAGGCTTTGGCTAACACCTCTTTCCCACAGATTCACCCACCAAGGCCGACCTTAGCACGAACGCCTACCGATCATTCATCTTCTTCTTCCTATCCGCCCCGAACCTGACCTTGTTCGAAAACGATTGCCGCGAGTTCCTAGCCTCTCTCGATATAGAATACCTAGCGTCTGCCATAGCTGCCCAATCCCGAACACCACCCATGGGACTGTCATCTGGCGACGGCCTACTCTGGCTGCTTGCCCATTTCATACAACTCTCGTCCACCGCCACCGGATACCGTACCGAGGTGGTCCTCGCACCTATTTACCTGCTGCTCTCCAGTCAGGGGAAGGACATTAGCCAGCGCATGGGCGCGGGCTCTCCCGAGGATGCGTTAGAGAACGCAGCAGCGACCGAGGTGAATACCACACAAGCCCGGCCGCTTCCGGATTATATCAAGACGCAACTGCAGTCTCTGGTCAGCACGGACTCCATCAAGAATCTGCTGAACCAGTTGTCCGAGTAAGTTTCTCGTTTCCCTACCTGCCGAAATATGTATTCCGTACTAATACAAACGATAACAGACAACGCGAAGCTGTCGAGACTACGAGGACCGTAAACGTCTTGAGTGGTTACCTCCTAACTCTACTGCAATATTTCTCCGACCAAAGCGACAACATCCGCATGCGTCTCTATCTGAGCGATCTCCGCTCTTCAAAGGGTACCGTGCCTGCCGTCAAGTGGTTGTGGGACGCTGCAGCAAGCACGGGCATCTACCGGCAAGGGCGAACCGACCCCCACGCCCCGGTGCGGATCCTGAAGAACTACGTATCCCAGCAGTCGCGGCAAGGCCCAGCGTCCCTCGATGGCGATGCGGAATGGCGAGCCCTTTTGCTCTTCTTGGATCTCTACATTTTCGTTTTGAGGCTCGCTGATGACGACGATTTCGTCACTGGCATCACGCCCCATGCGCACCAGACCTCTCGCATCCAGACGTGTTGCCTCACCCTTGAGGATATCAAGGGACTTACCGTATTCCTGAAAAGCTTTTCCTTCGCGCTCTACCACGATATCAGCTCCATCGCCCCGTCGTCGACTCTACCTCGAACTAATACTGATGCCGTGGATCGTTCGGGGGCCACCGCTACGACTACTACGATATCGAATCCGCTTGATCTTGATGGTGTCAAAAATCTCATCACATCGGCGATGCAGCTGCTCTACGAACGAGACTCTAGACTTAGGCTCCTTCCCGCTGGTCATTGGCTGATGACATCGAGATTCAACATGGGAGGCTTCATTTCCGACGTTGTAGCAGAGCTGCAACGGCAGCAGGAAGAGGAAGAGCATTCTGATAATGAAGACGACGAATATAGCCATGAACCTATGGCGAGATTTTCTTCGCCAAGCCACGCCCGGCAGCACATGCGGATCCACCAGCTCCGAGAACTCGAAAAGAAGCAGCGAGAGCGGTACATGGCCACCATCGGCCCGAAGCTCGAGATCCTGAAGCACATGCCGTTCGCGATCCCGTTTGAGACGAGGGCGATGGTATTCAAACAGTTCATCCACCTGGATAAGATGAGGCGCCGGGGAGGCTTCGTCGACGCTGACCAGTGGCGACTTAGCCTCCGAACTAGCGAGCGCGGGCTTGATCGCCTCGGCAAGCATAGCGCTGATATCCGCCGTGAACATGTGCTGGATGATGCGTTCAAGCAGTTCTACCCCCTTGCCGAGGGCCTGAAGGAGCCCATTTACATTACTTTTTACGACAGATTCGGGGAGGTCGAGGCTGGTATCGACGGCGGTGGTGTCACGAAGGAGTTTCTGATGTCTGCCATCCAGGATGCCTTTGCCGAGGACAGCTCGTGGTTCACGCGCAATGCAGAGGGCCTTTATTATCCCAACCCGTCTGCCATGGATTGGTTCCGCGAGAAGCGCGCGAGAGCCACTCGAGCATCGGAGCGCGAAGCGCTCGAGAACGAGAGCAGACGGGTCATCCAGCAGTACGAGTTCCTGGGTCGCCTGGTGGGCAAGTGCATCTACGAGGGGATCCTCATCGACATCGCCTTTGCCGGCTTCTTCTTGATGAAGTGGCGCGCCGCTGCGGAGCTGAACCGCTACCGTGGCACGGTCAACGACCTCCGGGATCTCGACGAGGAGCTCTACAAGGGCCTCATGGCGCTGAAGAACGAGCCGGGCGACGTGTCCGGCTGGGACATGTACTTCACGATCGACGACGAAGCCTCCTTCGGCGCCTCCAGGGACAAGTTCACCGTGACGCGGAACCTCATCAAAGACGGCGACGTAACCAAAGTCACCAACGAGAACCGACTCCTCTTCATCTCCTCCGTCGCCAAGCACCGCCTCGTGATCCAACCCGCCCTCCAAACCAACGCCTTCCTCCGCGGCCTGCGCTCCATCATCGACCCCTCCTGGCTCTCCATGTTCAACCGCGTCGAGCTGCAGCGCCTCGTAGGCGGCGACTCGCGCGCCATCGACGTCGAGGACCTCCGACGCAACACCGTCTACGGCGGGCTCTACGTCATCGGCGACGACGGCATGGAGCACGAAACCGTGCGGCTCTTCTGGAGGGTCATGACGAAGTTTTCGGACGAGCAGCGGCGCGAGGTACTGAAGTTCGTTACGTCGACGCCCCGTGCCCCCCTCCTAGGTTTTGCGCAGTTGAGTCCACTGTTTTCGATACGGGATGGGGGCTCGGCGGAGGATAGGTTGCCGAGCGCGAGTACGTGTATTAATTTGTTGAAGTTGCCGCTTTATTCAAGTGAGGAGACTCTAAGGGAGAAGTTGTTGTTGGCTGTTGAGTCGGGGGCCGGGTTCGATTTGAGTTAGGGGGGAATTTTTTCTTGCTTCTCAAAGCGGGTGATGGCGGATAGGCATTAGTCCCCATGCCGTCTACGCTTCTCATGCCTTTCTGCTGGTAGCCATTGGCATTCGGATATTTCTTTTTCTTCTTTCATGCCCCATGACGATAGATGGTTTATGTATGACTAGACCTTTGTGTTTTTCTTTTGATGAAAAAGGTGGTGGGGGCGAGTGAAGCATACTGCGGATTCGGCAGGCTCTTTTTAGATGGGATGAATATGTTACAGGTCAGGCATGGAATGACAAGTTTGTCCCTCTAAAGTCTCCAGCATTTCTAGCACTCTATGAACAATGAAAGCTGCATTGATTGATACAATGATTGTTTGATGTTCCAGGCAGTGGCAAATGGGTGGATGGTGGCAGGTTGAATTGTGCCTGCCTCTGTTGACTGAGTAATTTTTGGAGTAATTCTTTGGAAATTTTGGGGGAAAATAGCTACAATTGTAGCCAATCATGAAAATGTTTGTATAAGGCTGACAGAAGACACCAGAAGATTCCTGCTGGAAGGCGAGGCCGACATCCTGACAGAGAGGCGCATTATGTGAGAGCCCGGTCACAGATTACACAATGAAAAGAGCTGTCAATCAAAATCCCAAGAAGAGCCTTGATGTGGCGGATGAAGAAGATTGAAATCGGATGGGCTGACAAAGAAGAGTAGTAGATACCTTTTATAAGCCTCTATTATAAACTAATTTAAATGTACTAGTGACTTCTCAAGGGCACACACCCTGGACCAGACAGTGGCAGGGGCACCTTCCACAGACCCTTGCTTTCTCCACCGCCACTACCTCAAAAATTCTCCGTATTGGGAAAGAACTCTGTGGTGTACTTTGTACCACAATTGTACACTGCAAAGCACACACTTACTGTGTGATAGAGACCCAAGGCAGGAGCAGTGAGAGGAGAGAAAAAATTGGAACAAGGTTTTTTTTTATTTATTTTTTTTCTTTGCCATTTTTTCCAAAAGTGTAGCTAAAATCTTCGTCACGTTCCTTTTACTCCTTCTCCTTCCCTTTTCCTCCTCTCCAAGCGCACAACCGACTTATCACAACCAAGTTCCCTTTTCCATTTAACAAAAAAAACCAAAAAATCGAGGATCAGATTGTAGGTACGGCTTCTTCGTACTTGTTTTCTGTTCTCGGCCAACTCTTAACCAAAACATAAAAAAAAAACCAAAAAAAATCTCTTCCTCATATCAAACTCATCCCTCTCCAATATCTCCTCCCTCGACGTTTCTTCATCTCTCCCTTCCCACAAGAAACCTCCTCCAAAAAGCCCTTCTTCGCCTCCCTTCGACCGCATCACAACGCGATCGAATCCTTCCTCCTTTGGATCAATTAAACCCTTCCGACGCCCGAGTGTTTGGAAGCCTTTGATCCCGCCACATCGCCAAGCGATCATCCTCCGAGTCTTCGTCGTTCTTCGTCTTTTGTTGAGCGACTTTGCCCTTTCATCCAGCTGGTCCTGTTCTTATCCTAAACGGGCCCACTGATCTTTTCTGAGAGGTAAGTCGCCGAATATTCCTTTGTCTCCTTTGCCCTCTCTCATCTCTCCATTCTTGCCATCTCCTCCGAACCCGAGACATTCCCTCATCATCGTCGCCATCAAACATCTCCAATCTCTTTGCCACCTCTCTAGTCTGTCTATCCATCCTGCTAACCTTTGCCCTGCGCCTTTCTCCAGAAAAGATCGAAATTTAGGTTAACCTTCTCACAAAATCGAACTCTTTCCCACCCTCGAAGTTAACTCCATCGAGTACCCACCTGACAACATGGCTGCCCCTTCTGCCGCTGCTGTCGATCAGCTCGCTCACGAGCTTGGCAACGCCTCGCTCAACGGTAGCGATGCCCCTGCCGCTCCTGCCATCAACACCAACGTCTCTGGCGAGGCTGGTGATGAGCTTGACACTGCTGGCCCCACTCCCAGCTCGGCCGCTCCCCACCCTCAGGCGTCCGCCTCTCTCTACGTCGGCGAGCTTGACCCCTCAGTCACCGAGGCTATGCTCTTCGAGCTTTTCTCCCAGATTGGATCCGTCGCCTCGATCCGCGTTTGCCGTGATGCCGTCACGCGACGATCTCTCGGATACGCCTATGTCAACTACAACTCCACCAGCGATGGTGAGAAGGCTCTCGAGGAGCTCAACTACACCACCATCAAGGATCGCCCTTGCCGCATCATGTGGTCCCAGCGTGACCCCGCTCTCCGAAAGACGGGCCAGGGCAACGTTTTCATCAAGAACCTCGATGTCGCCATCGACAACAAGGCTCTCCACGACACCTTTGCTGCTTTCGGCAACATCTTGAGCTGCAAGGTCGCTCAGGACGAGAACGGCGTCTCCAAGGGTTACGGTTTCGTCCACTACGAAACCGATGAGGCTGCCGCGCAGGCCATCAAGCACGTTAACGGTATGCTTCTCAACGAGAAGAAGGTTTACGTCGGCTACCACATTCCCAAGAAGGATCGCCAGAGCAAGTTTGAGGAGATGAAGGCCAACTTCACCAACGTCTACGTCAAGAACATCAACACCGATGCCACCGACGAGGAGTTCCGCGAACTCTTCGCCAAGTACGGTGACATTACCTCGTCCACTCTCGCCCGCGACCAGGAGGGCAAGAGCCGCGGCTTCGGTTTCGTCAACTTCACCACCCACGAGAGCGCCGCCAAGGCCGTCGAGGAGCTCAACGGCAAGGACTTCCACGGCCAGGAGCTCTTCGTTGGCCGGGCCCAGAAGAAGCACGAGCGTGAGGAGGAGCTCCGCAAGTCCTACGAGGCTGCTCGCCTGGAGAAGGCCAACAAGTACCAGGGTGTCAACCTCTATATCAAGAACCTCGATGACGACGTTGACGATGACAAGCTTAGGCAGATGTTTGCCGATTTCGGTCCCATCACCTCCGCCAAGGTCATGCGTGACCAGGCTCCTGAGGCTCCCGAGGCGGACGCTGAGGGCAAGGATAAGGAGAACAACAAGGAGGCCGCCACCAAGGAAGGCGAGGAGGCTGCTGCCCCCGCCGAGGGTGAGAAGAAGAAGTCCGAGAAGAAGCTCGGAAAGAGCAAGGGCTTCGGTTTCGTCTGCTTCAGCAACCCCGAAGATGCCACCAAGGCTGTTGCCGAGATGAACCAGAGGATGATCAACGGCAAGCCCCTCTACGTGGCTTTGGCTCAACGTAAGGACGTGCGAAAGAGCCAGCTCGAGGCCACCATCCAAGCTCGCAACCAGATCCGTCTTCAACAGCAGGCGGCTCAGGCCGGTATGCCCGGTCAGTATCTTCAGCCCGCTGTTTTCTACGGCCAGCCCGGTTTCATGCACCAGGGCGGTCGCGGAATGCCTTTCCCCCAGCCCGGCATGGGTATGCCTGCCATGCAGCCCGGTAGGCCCGGTCAATTCCCCGGCGGCTACCCTCCTCAGGGCGGCCGTGGAATCCCCGGCCAGATTCCCCCCAATATGTTCGGCATCCCTGGCCAGTTCCCTCCTGGTGCGGCGCCCTACCCCCAGGCCAATAACCCTCAGTTCCTCGCCGCCATTCAGCAAGCTCAGCAGCAGGCCGCCGCCGGCATTCAGGGCGGTCGTGGCGCCGTTCCTCCCGGCCGTGGCCCCATTCAGGGTATGCCTCCCAACATGGCTGGCATTCCTGCCGGTCCTGGCATGCCTGGCTACCCTCCTAACGCCCGCCCTCAGGGCAACTTGGGCCGCGGTGGTGCTCCTCGCAACGGCCAGGGCGGCAACTTCGCCCAGGGTGGTCGTGGCCAGACTCCTGTCGCCGGTGCCGAGGGTGCGGGCAGCGCGTCCCTCCTCCAGCAGCAGCTTGCGGCCGCCGGTGGCCCGGCCCAGCAGAAGCAGATGCTTGGTGAACTGATCTTCCCCAAGATTCAGGTTATGCAACCCGAGCTTGCTGGTAAGATTACCGGTATGCTTCTCGAGATGGACAACGCGGAGCTCATCAACCTGTAAGTTTTTTTACTCCCTCGTGCCTCTATGTTATGAACAGCAGATACTAACATTCCATTTTCCTCCAGCATTGATGATACCGATGCCTTGAAGCTCAAGGTCGACGAGGCTCTCACTGTCTACGATGAGTACGTTAAACAGCAACAGACGGCGGGCGGTGCTGAGGGTGAGGGCGAGAAGAAGGAGGAGGAGAAGAAGACTGAGTCTTAAACACCTCCGTCTGTTTCTCTCTCACAGCGAAGCACGATATCGATAATGGATCCCGATTCGGCTTTTGCTGTTGCCCGGTGGCACTTTTATTTTTTATTTTTATTTTTCTACTTTGTTTGTAACCATTTGCCTATGGTGGTATTGACAAACACTCGGTTTTCACGGAAAAGTTTTACAGGTCATGCGAGGTTGGGTCGATATTTTTTTCGGGTGTCTGATGCGCGATGTCCTCTTGACAAAAGCATTTGTTGTTCTTTTCCCTCTTTATCCCGCTCTTCGTCAATCCTCGCTTCCACCTACGATTCGGCCTCTCGTCTTCCATTTTCATCCCGCCCTCACTTTCTTAGCATGAATCCTTTACGCTCATCAATAGGGTTGTGTCCCCCGAAGGTTGGGGGCTCTAGGGAATTGGACAGATATGGTGGATGTATTTATGATGCCTTTTCTTCTTCTCATCCTCCCTTCTGGGCATTCATATTGTCGAGGGTTTGAGAAAGGGTACGGCGGTGATGGAAGAGGAGTTGGGGAGCTGCAGATTTGTTTCAAGGTCGGCGTGCAGATGCCTTCGAGCAGCAGTCACTTTGCCTTGATACTTTTTTGCGGTTTCCCGCCTTCTGCTTCTGCCCGATCGACGCCCATTCTCTCCGCTCTCTCCTTTGTTTTCGACTTCAATGTTGTTTTCACGTCTACAGTACGACACTCGCAAGACACCCGGAAGACGGCGTTTAAGGGATTTTGTTCTTTTATTTTTTGCCTGACCCAGACCTATACCCACACTCGACCTTGGCGGCACTCTCTTGTTCTTGTACCCCGGTTCTTTCTTGTCTGAAGCTGGGCGAAGGGGCGGTTTGCGGCTGAAGAGGATCCGAGTCCTTGTTTGGGGTTCTGGCCTGGACTTTGGGAGAGGGAGATGGACGGATGGAAGGGGAGGCATTCTGTCTCTGTCGGGCTTTCCGTCCCCAGGTTTCAATGGTAGTTGATATTAATAGAATACCTGAAAACTAAGATGATGTCCGTGTGACTTAATGTTGTAGTTGCATTTTGAAATTGGCAAAGGTATGGGATTGATGTATTAATAGAGATAGAGTCGAATTGTAGGATGAAATGAGAACTTAGAGTCCATGACTTGGTGTTTTACACGACTTGAAGATAGAAAGACGTGAACATGATGAACAGAGACTAAACAGACCAAGGGAAAAGGAACTAAGAACAAGGAAACATGCAGAATGAGAAAAGAGTCCATAATGAAACGCGACGAACGCCGTCCTCCCTCCCTCCCCCCATTCCCCCCTTTTTTTTTTCTTCTCTCATTTCTTCGTTTTTTTGTTGACACCGAGATGAATGATGCTACATGCCCCTGACCTGCCGACGGATGCAGTTCCTCTAAATTGCGCCCCTGGATGAGAGTGAGTACCACGAAGAATAAAGGAAAGAAAGCATAGATACTTTTGGAGATGGAGGAATAGCTGGGGTGAGAGGGGTTATGTGTGTCAAGGAAGAGAGCTCATGACCTCTCATCGATAAGGTTGCTCCTCATCGCGGACCCCCCATACACCATCTCCATCAACTTCCCCTTCTGCCTCCTCCTCACATCCTCCAAATACCCGCCAACATCCTCTAACCCCCTAATCTGCTCCTCGACCGTCAACGTACTCGAATTCACGCTCCTCACGAGCGGCGAAACCAGCTTCCTCCTCAACGACTCCAAGTTCGCCTTGAGCGTCAGTAACCGATTATTATGATCCAGCAAGATCCCCTTGTTCCGCACGGTCTTCTCGCGCACGTTGCGCAGGAGCTGGCGGTTCCGTTCGTACTTGGCCACCTCGGCTGCGTTGGGTCCCAAGATACGCGTCCATAGCGACGAGAGTAAATCTGCGTGGGCTTCGTCCTGGTGCGTCGATTCGCGGACGACGGTGCGCGCCAGGTTGAGGAATTGTTGATCTATGGCCTCGAAGAGGGCGAAGAGCGCCAACGAGGCCTGCAGCTCGGAGTTGATGGATTCTTCGAGCACGGAGAGGAATTCGGTGAATGTGCGCTGGAGGGTCTGGCGCGTTCGCTGGGTGGATGTGCGGCCGAAGAGGGAGGTGAGGACGCGCGAGAGGGTCGTTGGGTCGCCGGTGGGGGTTTCGAGGATGTGGGTTGGGGAGAGGGCCGAGTAGAGGTTGTCGAGGGCGGAGGAGAAGGGGGCTGTGGGGAGGGTGCGGAGTTGGGAGAGTTCACGGCGGGCCCAGTCCATTACGATGAGGATTCTTTTTGTTCTTTCTGTTAGTCGGGGGAGGAATGGGTAGGGGTAAAGACGGAAGGGTAGGGAGGACGGGGCAAAAGGGAGACCATACCCATCGATGTCTCCATCGACATTGGCGAAAAACTTGGTAAGTTCAATCGCGAGCGTCTTCAAACTATCACTCAACTCATCCAGCTCCTTGACAATAATAGCCGCACTCGTCATATTACTACTCCTCACACTCTCGCCCAAATCCCACACAGCAACACTCGTAGCCTGTAAGTCCCCGACCTGCGCGACCCCGTTCTCAGAGTAGTAAATCAAGGGTTCGAAGGAGCGCGCGAGGCCGGCGACCTTGACGAGGTCCGGTACGGGCGATTGCGAAGCGGGTTGGAGGAAGAGGGAGCGCATGGTCGCGAGGGAGAGGAAGGCGACGAGGACGGAGGTGGCGAGGGAGGTCCAGGTGCGGGTTATGGTGGTGAGGGTTGTGCGGGCGAAGGTTATTGCTGCGTCGATTGGTTCAGTGCGGTGTTGGACTTCGGCGCGGAGGGCGAAGCGGATGTCTTTGGAGTGGGTTTAGCGGGTTGGTCTGCAAACCAGAAAGTGTAAACGGGCGAACCAGACAGAGAAAGAACTTACAATTGTCGGGGGTGTCTATTTGCATGCCCGGAGAAACACTCTTCATAACCATCTCATCAATCTTCAACGTCCTATCCGGTTCCGGCGACAGCCCCTTCTCAGGCGACAAGCTCCCCGTCGGTAACCGCGTCCTAATAGCCCTCTCCAAAACATCCTCAACCTCATCCTCCTCCCCAGCGCTCTCATACCCAGGCGTCATCATACCATTAACCCGCTGATTCTGCAGCCGGTGGTTCGGAAAATGCCCCAAGATGTTATCCGACTTGCGCCAGAACCCATTCGACCTATCCCCGTTCTCGAGGCGGCGCCACGCCGGAGGACTGTAGCCACCTGCGGAAGCTGAATCCGGGTCGTCGCTCTCCTCCGCCTCTGTCCCTTCGGACCGGAACCCAGAGTGATGGGAGGGATACCCGAACCGGAGAGGGGTCGTCGGCTCGAAGTCTTGCAGGGAGGCGTCGAGGTGATCGAGAGGATCTAGAACGGCTGGAGCGACCATCTTTTTCGACCTTTTTGCTGCGCTGGTGGGAGTGGTTGGTCCGGCGCGAGGAGCGGAGCACGAGCGCGGTTTCTGAGCTGCCCTCAGGCGGCGCAGGTAGCGCAGGTAAGGGCCTGTTGCGGCGACTAGGGGTAGCTGGGAGCAGGAGGTCGGCGCTGTCCAGGCCCAGGGGGATGGTCGCTGGTGAGGTCGCTGTTGTCCTTGGTACTAGGGCCGTGGAGGGGGAGGCCTTGCGTTTAGGTTTCACAAGGGCAAAGATGCGACGGATGGGAGCGGTGATGGCGGAGATGGGGGCGAGGTAGAAGGAGAGGTAGATGGATATGACGAGGAGACTGATTGTGAAGGCGGCGAGAAAGGTGCTGGGTGTTACGGTGACGCTTAGGAGGGAGATGGAGACGTGGTTGTTGACGGTGAAGAGGGAGTTCATGGAGTTGTACCACATGGGAGGGTTTGTGTGTTTGGGGAAGGTTTGTAAGAAGAGGGAAGAAGAGGGTAATGGCGGTACAAAGTAAGTAAAGTGACTTATGGAGCACGGAAGAGGAGGGACAAGGATATAGATGAGAGGGAGGTAGAGGATGGTAACGGGGAAGGGGGGAGGGTGGGATTCAAAGTTTTGCCAATGCCGGCTTGAGTCCGCAAGGGTGGGTGTGGGTAGGGGTTATGGGTGAGGGAGATACTCAGAGCTTGCTTTTGGTATGAGTATTAGTATGGGGGAAAGGGCGGGAAGATGGAAGATGGAATCAGTCGAGGTGGGAAATGGAGGGTGGGGGAAGAGATCTGACCGGCTGTTGGCCGAGGAGAGGGAGCAGAGCTGTAGGAACAGGGTCGGATAATGGGTCGACCGGGACCAGGACCGCAGTGGAAAGTGTGTGTAGGTGTGGGTAATGCAGGATGCGTGAGTGAAGAAAAATGCGGATGGAGTGAAATGAATGGCTTGGGTCGCGGCCAGGCCAAGGGCAATCTGAGAAAAGTTGGGATGATGTGCAGAAGTCCGCAGAATAGGTCGAGTCTTGATGCGAGTTTGGATCTGAAGACAAGGTTTGTAAGTAGTTATAATATGATACTATGACAGTATGATGATTGTGTAGAAAGATCTATAAGAAGTTGGCCTGGTATCGTTCTTGTGCTCTTGGAGAAGTAAAGTTGTGAGGAACGAAGTGAGCCAGGCAGGGAAGAGCGAAAGCTCGCAGAGTAACAGAGAAGAAGACTGACTGGCTCTTGACAGCCAGCTCGACACTCAGGATTGGCTAACAATCTCGCTGGCAAGAACCACTGCAGCCCAAAGCAGGCTCTCCCGAGAAGAACATGCGATTCGAGCGAGCGAGTCACGAGAAATCACAAGAAGCAGAGACTCGCGGAAACAGAAAAGACGATCCTCAACCAAGAGAAGAAGAGCTCCAAATTGTATTGGTGATGATGAGACTCAGAAGCCATCCATCTCCTTCACTTATGACGCCTCCTGCATCATACCAGATACAGAGGACACCGGTTCTCAATCTCCCCCAAAACCCAGAAACAGCTCCACCACACCCCTCCCTCGTCGGCGCCACTCCAAGCGAGAGAGAAAGAGAGAGAGAAAAAAAGCTCGAGCTCAAAATCACCAAACAAATCCGCCAAAAAGGAAGAGGTTGGGAAGGCGTTCCTTCCCGCAAGTCGTGCCTTCCCTGCAGCTTTCGACACTGTCCTCTGGATACGTACTTCGTACCTCACTTGCTGTCTCAACCCCTGGTTGAGCCAATCATTGTCCCGAGCATGTTGTTGTCGGGGCGAACAGAGAGAGACCTTAGGCAGGAAGGGGACCAGCGGGAACGGTTGCATGGACACAAGGAAACGTTCGAAGCCAATGCAGCTGACGAGGGGCAACGTTCTTGGAGGAGGATCGGAGAAAGGTACCTCGCCACAGTGTGAAGATTCACTGGACGGAGGGGCTGGGAACGGCTTGGTCCGTGCGTAGCTGCCTGTGAAGCGCGTCTCAGTTTTGGATTCGGATGCTGCCAGAGGACGCGAGGAAAACCCTGGAGAGGAACGCTTCTCCCTCTTTGGAAAGAAATAAAAAGAGAATGACGAAAAGAAGATAACTTCCTCCCTGTCATCCTTGACGTGAACCAAAACAACGTGCTCTCCAAACGAATGAGGGACAGGCAAACAAACGCGGAGACCCCTCGTTTTTCCCTTCCTTGCGCCAATGTTCATTCTCCCTCCATCGCACGCGAATGACGCCAACTGGCAAACGCCAAAAGACGCTCGTCGCGAGCCGTACAAAATCCGTCCCGTCTCACTGTCCCCATCACACTTACGACTTCTTGCCTCATTGAGAGCGATTTGGACCGATGAGCCAATGGGGACGATGGCCAGTTGGCCTTGACCCCACCCACGGAGAAGAGTACCTCGTACAGTTTGATATCAAGGCACTATGCACTGTTCTTATCTTATCACCCCGCCCTGCACCGCAAAGTCCGAAGTACGCTCCTTCCCTCATTCCCGCATCACAAGAGCCAGTCTCATTGACAAGAACGAAGTTACACTGCCTCAGTCTGGTTTGTTTGTTTTGCTCCCCTTTTTCTCAATTCTTCCCGAAAGGGATAAATTGGCTGCATGACACCGACTTACATCCAATGGGCAAAGCATATAAAAAAACAACGCCAAAAATTGTAAACAAACATACATTTTGACCATTCACAGGTCTCATCCTTGGTATCATCCAGGAAAAAACAACATCGTCAGTCCTTCGGTTCTTCGGCGTCATGCACGCACTTTAACCCCACGCGGAGTTTCTCTTGACCTCCTGATACAGTGTAATTCCATCATCATTGCCGTCACAGGTTGGATTTCCTCTTGACCCCGCATCAACATTCAACGGCTAGTGCGCCAAGATGTGAAGCATTTGTGTATTGGAGAAAGCCCAGACATGGAAAGGGAGAGCGGGGATCAACAGAAGTCCATCCGCCGGAAGTTATCATCCCATCATCCCATGGGCAATTCATATTGGTCCTTCACTTGGCTCTTCCTGGTAGCTAACCGATGATCCCGTCGACCTGGAAGACGGTGTCTCTCCTCCTGAACAGAACATCAAACTTGGTCTCGTAATAACATCCCTCCTTCTACCCCCCTCCCTCACGATTGAGTAAACAGGAGAAGAAGAACACGAAGGGACGGTTGGTCATGTTACTTTTTTCCATTTGATTGATTTTATTTTCTCATATCGTAACTACGAGCATCAAACTGCAGTATTCCCCAATGTGTAAAACACCTCATCATGTCCTAATCCACCTCGTTCGCCTTGAACCTAGTAGGCATCAGAAAAACAAGAAAACACCAATATGCCCTAACCTGCCAAATCAACGACTTTCGTTCCCTAGGAAAAGAAAAACACTAAAAGTAGCGATTAAAGAGAGTATGGGGGAAAAAAAAGGAGAGAGAAAAGAAGAGAAAGCCCAGAATCACCAGAAACAAGAAGCGCTTCATCCCCAATAGCACCTCACACTCCACAACACCTAAAAAAGACAGCCTTGTTTCACCACGGCCTACTCACGCTCCACCTTCCCACGCGGTACTTATTCTTATTCTTAGACCTGGACCTGGTCTTGGACTTGGACCGCCTCGCGTAACTGCCCCGATTGCCCTCCTAGTCAATCTTGGCGCTCGCCAGGCTCCTGCCCGCCGGGTTGCTGAGGTTATTGATCTGCTTGATCGGTCCCCTCGTCTTCTTCTTCGGTAGGCGTTTGCGGGCTACCATGACGGGCACGGAGCTCTTGGTGACGAGGTAGTTGCTGAAGGATCCGAGGATGACGCTGTAAAACTGTGTTAGTAAATATGCCTGGAAGATTGGGGGGGGGGGGGGGGGGAAGTGATAGAAAAATGCTCACCCTTTAATCGAGCTCCGTCCTCTGCTCCCAAGAATGACCAACGTGGGCTTAATCAAATCAATCATCTCCAGCACCAAGTGCTTCGGATTCTTGCAATGCAGCACCTCCACAATCACCCGCACCTGCAACTTCGTCCTCCGCAGTAGCCTCGACACTTTAGCCGTGATCTGCTCCACCACCTCTTGCCTCTCCGCCTCGAGCCTATCCTGCTCCTTCGTCGCCGACGATGTGCTGACGTTGCTCGTCGAGTCGCCCGCCGCGCTGCTACCGTTCCCTCCGTACGGGCTGTCCCGCCCGCCGAGGGCGGACGTGAGCAGGCTGATGGACGAGGATCGGTGTTGCGTTAGAGGCACAGGCGCTGCGAGTGAATTGTTGTCCTTTTTACCGCTGTCATTGTTGTCATCGCCGCCGAGCTTGTTCTCTCCTTCCGCTGCCTCCTCCGAGAGGCAGCAGACGGCCACCAGCGTGTCACCGTCGCGGAGCACCGTGCCCACGGCCCACTCCAACGCATGCTGCGAATGGTCGCTGAGATCCGTAGCCACGAGGTACTTGCGTAGCTTCTTGTGCTCCTCCACCGCCGCCGTGACCACCTTGGTAAACTCTCCACGGTAAATCACCCGCACCGACCTGTTCGTCTCGGGCGTCGAAAACACGTCCGTCAGCTTGACCGACATTTCCTGCGCCTTTCGGATTTCGTCCCTCTCGATCTCGTTCTCCGAGTTGTTGGCCGAGTTGACCGTCGACGAAGGGATCACCCTCTCCTTGCTGGCGCTCAGGCGACCTTGACGAGTTGTCCGCTCGCTTCCGTTGGAACCTGATTTTTTGGTATCTTCGTCGTCGTCGAAGAGGGATCTGACTTTGTAGACTGCAGATAGTTGCTTGCCTGAAAAAAAAAGGGGGGTTAGTAAATGTTGGACTGGTCCGGATACAAAGTAAAGAGGAATACAGAACGTGAGGACCACAACTTACGCTCTTCTTCTGCGGCAGCCAAAAGGCTCTTTGGTTCTCTAGTCGGGTCAGACGGCATCAACTCTTCACTACCGTAAACGATCCTCGGAGCCGTGTTCCTTCCACGGTGATCCTCTTCGTCGTCAGCATCGGTATGCGTCTCGTCGCTACTACTGTCGTCAAGCCTCTCCCCATCAGGCCCCACATATGCCTTGATAAGCGGGCCTTCTCCGTCTTCTTGCTGTGAGGCCTTCTGCAAAGCCAGATGCGCCAGCGGGCCATGGGAAGCGAGAAGACTCGCGTCGGATAGGTTCTTGTAGGCCTTGCTGAGGTCCACCTCATACCCGCTATCAAGCATCGCCACCTTCGACTTGGGTTTCTCCGGTAGTAGTGCAGCCGGAGGAGACGGGCCACGGACCGAACGCTGGCTGTGCGGCGATCTCGACTGATTGCCTCGGCGCGGGATGGAGCCGGAGATAGAGTGCCTCAAAGGCTCGTGGCCTTGCGGAAGGACAGGCTGCGGGTGGCTCGTGACCTGTGCAAGTGGGCTGGTCAGGGTTCTTCCGCCCTGCTGGTTCCTCTTCGGCATCGGCAACGACTGTCCGATCTGGGAAGTGATGATATCACTAAACTGATAATCGGCAAGGTTGGTCCGGTGCGGCGAGACGTGCCTCCTGGAGGAAGAATCAGGGTATCGCGGCGTCTCCGAGGTCGGCCGCGGGCTCGTCCCCGAGGCAGTTCCTCCAGAAGAACCCGTCGCGTTCGTCGCCTCCGAGATGGAACTCCTCACGCTAGGAGGATACCCGGGTGAAGGTGGAGCGGCAGTATCGGGGCCAAGCATGCTCCTCACAGGAGGCTGCGTTTTGGGCGGAGCGGGGCCAATATCGAGCAAGCTCCGATACTTGACGGGTGGCGGAGTACCCTTCCGTGTAGGCGACGATTCGGGACCGACATCCAACATGCTTCGGATGGGTGAGCGCGGGCTCGTCATTGGCGACGCCGATCGCCGTACGGTCTGGGGCGCAGCCTTGGCAGCAGCCTGGCGCTCGAGAATCTCGAGGATAGCGAGTCTCTCCTCGTCCATAGCCGCCTCCAGGCTCATCGTGTGCTGCGAAGCCATCTTGCGGGTTTTCTTTTTTTTTTTTCCTTCTTTTTGTTTCTGTTTTTGAGGTGTTTCTTTCGTGTGAGTGGGTGGACGCTCGTTCTTTAGAGCGCCAGAGGGAAGCGTGCTGTTCAGGGCGCAGGGTATGAGGGGTTCAAAGTGGGATGTAGGGTTCAGTGCGCTTGGCGCACTCGATATATGACGTGGGGGGTGGTGGCGGGGGGGTGAATCAGAGGGAATTGTCAGCCCTGCGCAAAAACTCGATATGTGCGAAGAGTTCGGTATGGTAATTAGGGATGTTCGTTATGTTCAGTAGGCCCCTGGAAACCGAAATTCGAAGAGCGCTTGGCGGGGCGAGGAACGGGTTGATTTCAGCGGGGGAGAAGGTCACAGCGTCTGAATCGGTGAAGGATCGGTCGCTTGAATCGTGAGCCTAGAAGTGGCATTGTTCACACAAACTTCTTGAGTGTTCTGGGGAAGGCCGTCGAGGGGATTGAAACGCTCAAGCCATTGCGAATGGCGGCGTCGCGGGATTTTGAGGAAAAAAAAAGAAGAATTGGGGTGGAATTTAGCGAAAGTCTCTTCGTCCTATGCGGATATAAACTGGGGGGTTCGAAAGAACGGTGGAAGAGGAGAAAAGTCTTGGATCTTTAAAGTCGTCGTCCGCCGAGAAGAGCTGAGGGGAAAGGTTGCGCACGCAGTCTTGGCTTTGCCTCTCTCTATTCAAAATTACGGTGGAGTGACATTGGACTTCAGCTCGCTTAGTCATGGCCCGAACTGGATTTCGGTTCGTGAAAGATTGATGCCGGGACGATGCCGGGACCCATGACGGAAAAGGATTTTTATCACCATGTGAGCAATAGTTTTCGCGTAGTTTCGGGATCTCATCTCTTCGGTGGCAATCAATGGTGAAAAAAAGTGAAAAAAAAAGGGTGCTATTCATTTGATTGGAATACATCTATATGTAAATGAGGCCATATCCACTCTCACAACACCAGATGCACATAGTGTACAAGTAGGTCCTACACAGGCCGACTAAACTGCCACAAGAAGTCGAACCTTTCTCTCCTACCCAGTAGCCCCTCCCGTATAACCGAGGATGGATTACTGCCCATAGCCCACCTAGGCATTCTTCTTGCTCTTCGCCTTCCTCTTGTTACTCAAGTTTGCTCGTGCCGCCGTAGCAATCTTGTGTACCTGCTGCCTCTTCTCCCAAACTCCAGACCGTCCCTCCACAACCGCAATGATCTCAGACGCAAGTCGGTGGGCGAACTGGTTCCTACCGGATCCCATTGACGGCTTCTTGTTAACGGCCTCGAGGATCCATAGGAAGGCAATTCGCCTCCTTTGGCGGACTTCAAGAGGCATGGGCATCTCGAGCGCAGCGCCACCTCCGGCAAGGCCTCGAAGATGCCTAATTCGCATGAGAGGTGCGACCGAGTCAATCGCGAGAGTGAGGTAGACGATGGGGTTGAGCGGGAGATGTTGAGAGGGGGGAGCGCCGGGGAGGAGAGGATACTTGGGGCTTAGGATCGGAGGCGGGGACGTTCGTAGAATAGTGAGAACTCGAGCCAGATGCTAGAAGTGGCGTGTCAATAAAATGTGTGAAAATGAAGACACTTCTGAAAGTCCTCGGCGAGGACAGGGAGACAAGAGAAAAGGAACATACGCTCTGAGCCTTGCTCAACTTTCCTTCCCTCATAAGCAACCTCGAAATCTGCATAAGAACAGGATGATACCGATTCTTCATCTGCATATGCCACGGCAACGGAAGCTCAGGCAAGGGAAACTTATGTCCCTCGCCAGAGCCCACAACCTTCAAGCCCGTGGCAATCTCCGTCATGTCGTCAATCGCTCGGTTCCCCGTCGACGCCGGCCGAATCACACCCTCTTCGTACAGAGTCTGTTCCTGCTCGGGAGTCAATCCTCCCTGAAGAGCCTGCAGCCCGTGGGCCTCGACCACTCCCTTCATGTTGGCGGACTTCAGCATAGCCTCGACATCGCCGGCCGTTGAATTATTTTCGGTCGAGAGGTATCTTCGAGGAGCAGCCACCGCAAGAGCTGCTCCGTGGTTCGGGATCATGGGCCGAGCCCGTATCGCCAGGGTGCGACACGCGCCCCATAACCGCGCTGGTGGTGACATTTAGTGATATCGGGGGCTTGTATCGGAAGGATTGGAATGTTGTCGTTTCTCTGATCGTCGACTATAGCTCACTTTGGGCTTCAACTGAGAGGCCCCATTCGACTTGATCAGAGTCGCTTGGTGGTGTTTGGCTGGCTCGACTCTTTGCACGAAAATGCTCTGAGCTTCCTTTCGCAAAATTGTCGAAAAGTGGGTCATCTGTTTAGCCACGTTTGCGCCACGCTCTTGGAAGCACTGTGGCGCCGAGATTTGCCATTTGGGCCAAGCAACAATGAGTTTAAAGGCATCAGTCTTAGTCATCTTCCAACGTCAAGACATTGGACCATCGCCGATTCTGCCTCCTCGCACTCCTTCATATTACTCTGCTTGCATCCCATTTGACCAGTATCTTTCTTTTGCTGTTGGGTAGATATCTCGTTATCCTGAGTATCTCGCGACTATGCTTCCCTTTGTGAGGGTCGTCATGTTCACGCCTAGCTTGAGACGAAAATGAGGAACCTGCCGGCAGCTGCATCCGGGTCTCATGAAATTCCGAGGTAATACGTTCGAGACTTATTGAGTTTGACGACCGTAGTTTTGTTAAAAAGCACTCAATAAAGCCAAGCTTAGGTCTCAAGGACCACTTAGTTTTATGTCATCTGAACGACTTCAAGAGGGCCGAATCAGGCTAGACAGGAAGGCTCGGCATTTCGAAGATGATCTTGAACTTCCACATAAAACCCGGTCGCTCGATCACGGTCTCCCGCATGCACCAGCAACTTCCCACGGGACATATCTCGGCGGTCTCAACGAGGATCTAGAAGACCTCGAATTCTACCAACTCGGGGGATACCACCCCATCCACCTCGGCGACGAACTAGGCCCACCTGGTCGATATCGCGTTATTCACAAGCTAGGCCACGGAGGTTTCGGCACGGTCTGGCTTTGTCGCGATTCCCAAGCCTCCAGATACGTGGCTGTGAAAGTGATGACGGCCGACCTGTCTTCGGACCAAATTCTAGATCTTTGCCTCTTGGAATTAGATCAGGCAATTCCCGGCGCCGATTACATTGCCCTTCCGCTTGACCGTTTCTCCCTCACTGGACCTCACGGCACACATCAGTGCATCGCGCTCCCGGTGTTTGGCCCTCGAGTGTCGCCGGGCTTTTGGCATTCAATGGACATGGACCCAGGTGCAATCCTCCGAAAAATGTGTCTCCAGGCTACCCAAGCCCTCAACTTCCTCCATCAGAACGGGATATGTCATGGAGGTGGGGCTATACACCTCACAGGATCATATCGCGGCTTGAGATTTTTCTAACGGACTACGCATAGACTTTCGGCCTGCCAATATCCTCGTTAAACTTGCCAACCTAGACGATCTTAGCGAGAAGGAGATACTGTCTATATTAGGCCAGCCACTAAAGTCGGAAGTTTTGACTGAAATTGGTATAGACCACCCGAGATCTACTCCCCAGTATCTTGTCCTTCCAATAGATCTCACGACCCTGGGCCCGGAATATCTAACCGAAGATATCTGTCTCATCGACTTCGGCGAATCCTTCCGCACCTCGGACCCTCCAACCAATCTCGGAACTCCCGAAAACTACCTACCCCCGGAGGTCTTCTTACGCGATGAGCCAGATATCGGCCCCTATACCGATGCGTGGGCCTTGGGTTGTACCGTCTTCGAGATCCGGGAGCAGATCCCTCTGTTCTACATGACTTACGACGAAGACGATCTGCTTTACGAGATGGCCTGCTACTTTGGAAGGCCTCCGCAGAATTTATGGATGCAGTGGGAGGGACGGAGTGACTACTTTGACGCGAATGGACAGCGGCTTCGTAAATCTGATGAGGCCCAGACGTTTGATAAGGTCCTGGCACATCGAATTGAGATCCTTGGGGATAGACAGAGCGATGGGAAGAGGAGAGTGGCGAAGACTTTCAGCGTTCCGGGAAAGGAGCAGTTGGTGTTGAAGGATCTATTACTGAAGATATTCAAGTATGATCCGAAGGAGCGAGCTAGTGTTAAGGAAGTGTTGGAGCATGAGTGGTTCCGCGTGTGAAAACTGGTCTAGTTTTCAATTCTCGGGTTCTGGGAGCCACTAATTAAGTTTGATAAGCATTTTGTGCGTAATTCCTCAGACTGTCCGTTGCATTTAATATCGTAGAGGCTGTCGGCAAGCAGTATGAACTCGTCAGAGATGATAATATCTCAGTGAAATCCACCATGCACATTCCAAGGAAATGGACTATTCACATATACGGGTCATCGCTGCTTCATCGCTCTGGATTTCTGCATGCAATAAATACATCTATTCAACTCACCGGCGACAATAAATGAAATGTTAGTGAGCTAATTGAGTGGCACCCCGAGAACCCCCGATACGACGCTTACCCGAGGGAAAGCCTCTCCCAAACCGATTCAGAAAGCCCCAAAAAGCCTCTTTCTCTCCCTGCGTCAAGCCCGCCGCTCGGAAGCCTCTTCCGCCCCAAGCCTTCGAGGCCTTGGTTTCCCGACCTGGCTTAGTGCCTCGTTCGCCTCAAGATGCAAACTCTTCAGTCATTATGATAATATGTCCCTCCCCTTGCTTTTCGGCCGCAGCCTTATATGTCTTGTTGTGCAAAATGGCTCAGGGATCGGGGTTGTCACCGAGACGCCGTCAAAAGTTTATTTATTTATTCATTCCCATTCTTTATATCAAAACGGGAACACTACATTATAATCGAACGGACAACCTCGTAAATTCTTCAGAATCGAAAATCTCACATCCGCTCCCCATCTCTGCTATCTCCACACCCCCGTTTCTCCTTGCATTGGCTGGTTCAACCTCATTACTTCTCACGGGGAGAAAAAAACCGGATCTGGACAGACACGAGGTGGGGTTGTAAAACAGCGGTATATGTAGATATAACGCGCGGAAAGCCTGTACGGGAATGCATGATGTAAGTAGACGTAGTACCAATTGGCGATTCGGCGTTTTCGAAGGAAAAAAAAATGCAGAAATGCACCGGTTCTGCCAGTCGTTAGCGTTGAAAGCTTGCAAGCGGTGACTGGGATGAAGGATAAAAGCGAATGGCGCGAGAGTGGCGTGAAGAAGGGCGATGGAGAAAAAGTAAAGGTGGAAAGCAAAAAGGCGGTGCAGAGGGATCAATCACTTCTGTTCCTCATCTCGTATCAAAATGTATACAAACAAACCAAACCTCGCCGATGTTGGACCCGGCTTCTAACTTGGTGGGCGTGAGAAAAGACAGAGTCCAGCCTGAACTGATAGAAACACTTCCAGTGATGTATCAATCCTGCATGCAGCCTCGAAATGTTGCAGCAAACGGGGAGGGCGTAACCGGCTCCACCCTCTTTTTTTTTCCCCTTCCTTTTTGAGAGAATTGTTGAACAAGCCGAAACATATCCAAGGTGTTTATTAGGTTAGGATCACCTCATTCTGTTTCTATGCCTCACCTGCGTCCATGCAGATAGCCTCAACCAGCTAGGGGGACTCCCGGAGGCTCTAATTTAGTACGGACGAAGAGGGAGCAGGAGGATAAGAGACCAGAAAAAGGAAAAAGGGAAAGAAAGGAGTGGAAAAGAAAGGAAAACGGCAGGGAAAAACCAACGAGCGGCATGAATGAAATTCTAAAACATGGCGTCCTCTCTCTCTCCTTCTCTCGCAGTCTCAATGGCTCCTCGGAAAGCCCGCCGAGGCAAGAAGACGCATCAAGTAAGAGAGCCGCCAGCCACCATCTTGTCCATGAGTAGGGAAAACACAACAACCAACAACCATTTCGTCTTCCCGCATTCCTCGTCCAACAGCCGCCTAGTGCCACGGGTGAGGCGTCAACCAATAATTGACATCTCCAGTACCCAATAAATCCCGGTTCGATTTCCGTCAAATAGTTCGCAGTACTTCGTACGGTCCATCGCAAATAGACCGATCAATATTTGTGTTTCCCCACGACGGTGGTGCCAGCCGTGGGTGGGGTCCGGAGCGCACCTCTCCTTTTTCACCGATACCGTCCAGAACACATCGTCTTTGCGGATCGTCTATTTCGTTCGTTGGTGTCTTTTGTTTCATTAGCTCGCTCCTGCGCTTCTCCGTGCCCGGTGTTGCCTATGCGGGTGTTAGCGAGCTTGCGGCAGATCGGCTCAGCCCGGAAACCAAAATTCCTATTATAGCCGGCGGGTATGCGACGGTCAATCTCCTCATAAAACTTTCCACAATCAAAATCCTGCACCTCAATTTCGTGTGTATCGTGACATCGGTGTTGAGCAAAAAAGAACCGGTAAAATCGAGATCTTTCTTCACTTGCCGTCCGTACATGCATGATGTGTAACCTACCCTACCATGTGGGCCTGCTGAAAGAATTTGGCGAGGGAGGAAAAGGGAAAAAGGGAAAAGAGAGAAAAAGAAGAAAAAAAAGCAGATCTGGTTAGAATGGCAGCCGCCGTCACCAAAACTTACCGGCCATTAAGGCTACTCGCAGGGGCTCGCAGGTCTTCGAATGGTCATACTCGTTCCTCTTATCGATGAGGTGTACATACGCCGCTACCCATCGCCGTAGCAGCCTGTGAAGCATTTGAGCTATCTGGAACATTAGTACTGATTCCGCATGTCGGGTTGCGCAGCGTATCATGTTGTGAAAGTACGCTTCCAATACTTCCAATATGCAAAGGAGAAAAGGAACACAAAATCAGCCAACAGGAACGGGTGGGGATAGTTCAAGAGTAGGCAGGAAACCGGTTTAACGACACATGTGAGATTTGCGGAAAGTTGAGCTCTCCCCGTGTCGCCTGCTAATGGTGAACATCATTATCCGCCCGCTCCAATGCTCCACAGGGTGCTTTGCCCTCTCGGACAAGAGCGGCGTGTATCTCCGAATGGCAACCAGAGGATGAATTGATATCCGTATTGAAGTAGGAAGTAGAAAGTAAACCAAGAACAAGCCATTGAGAAACGTAAGGCTTTCTTTCCATTGAGTGAAACATAATAAAGGGAAGAACCTCATGTAGGAAATTGAATGAACCCAAACAGAGCCTAACCCAAGCCAAGCTCAGATGAAGAAGAAGACAGGAAAAAAAAATATCAAATAAAAACTAAAACGCAAAAGTCGAGGCATGTTTTGCGCCGTGCCCATGTGGTGGAACCCATTTTTTTATGCCGCGTGGCCCGTCGTCCGTAATCCCTATGTTCCAACTCCCGTGCTAGTTAAACTACATCAAGAACCAGAATCATGAGATTGAAGAAAAATTAAAAAGAAAAGAAATGACCAAAGCCGCCACAGTAACGAAGGAAGAAAAGGCAGGGCGAATAAACAATAATAGTGACACGAAGCAAGCAAAAGATGGTGATAGGCCGGGAGCATCGCAGCTGAATCGCCGTCTAAGCGTTAAAGGCCTCAAGTCTTCTACTTCGGCAATCATTGGATAAGCCGTCGCGTCGTCGAGCCAATGTATGCCGGATTCGTGTAGGATCGCATCGGCCCTGACGCATATTTTCGTGGTGCTGCATGGGTCTCCTGATGCGTCGAAAACCCGTGCTCTCGTTACTGCCACGGAGACGAAGGATTGCTGCTCACATACCGGAGAGCTAGCTCGGCGGCGTCTTCTTTGGCATTGTTGAGATTCTTGCCATCGTACCAAAACCGAGCCTGGAAGACTTGGCCTTTGACCATGACCCTGCTGGACCAAGCTGTTCTACCCCCTGATAAACGGGAAACCAACCATATCGGATTCCATGATTAGCCTCGATTTCGATAGCTGTCTCTCAGTGGCTCTGTCCGATGAGACGGGCTTACCTCGTCGATCCGATACTAGTTCAAAGTGAGGAGAAGGAAAATTGTTGTCCCGGCACGCCTCTTGACTCGAGTGTTAGCCGCTTGCTGGGGAATTGAGATGTTCAGATGAGTGGTTACCCACCTTCAAGGCGGTCTTGCCAGGGAGTGGTGCTGGATCCAAAAGAAGTCATGTTGCTATTTCGTATCGACTAATTTACGTCTTTTTTTTTTTTTTCTTTTCCTTAGACGAATGCAGTCGGGTGCCTTTTGCAGTCCGGGGATTTGGAAAACTGTGAGATGAAGTGTCGGAGGTGAGGATGGAAGAGTGCGGGTCGGGAACGCGACGGTTTTTAGTGGCAATGCGCTTGCGTCTGTGTCTCGAAGGTGTCTTGATCGATATTACGGCCCTCTGAGGGATCTGTAATGTGTAATGTATGGGGAATGAAGGAATTGGTGAAGTGAGAAGACAGGAAGTGGATCACAGGCAGGTCAATGGTGGGTTTCTTGGTTTCTTATATACATATGTCGATGGGCGTTGAAGAGAGGCTTGGGGGTGTGCAGAGATCGGCTGGAGAGAGGCGTGGAAGATGAGGGAGGTGTGGGAGGAGAGACTCAAGAGAACCTGAGGGTCCGCGTAGGCGGTAAGGTGCTAAGATGGTCAATGTAGAAGGTCCACACCTGCGGGCCTCGCGATCTCCAACCTCTTTGCGTCAGGAGGAGTGCAGGGTTAACGGACTACGAATACATGTAGAAGAAAGTAGTGAGCTAGCCCCATAAACGGCATCATACACCGTAAGGGTCCATCTAGCACAACCTGGGGTGTACATAGGTCTCACACAGACCTAACTTCGAGAAAAGGGGAGGGTGTGCATAGAAAAGGCTAGGGCATCAAGATCCAAGGTGGGATTAAAAAAACGAAAGAAGATGCAAGAATGGAAAGAGCTCGCGGATGAGGAAGGGGAAAAGCTGAGGAAGGCCGTAAGCCAGCTTGCAAAACGCTGGGCACGTAGCAAGCCCGATGGAAAGATTGGAAGCGGAAATCGCTAACTTTGCATGACCTTAGGCTTTCCCCTTCAATGACCAGGGCACACGACTTTCGAATCGCCTGGGATTACTGCGTCGGTCTGAGAAGAAAAGATTAAAAGGAAAAAAAAAAAAAAAATCGAGCCAGGGCATCGGAATGGCGCTTGGGTACAAAACTGCATGGTAGACGTTAGTGTACGCATGTACTTTGTTCCCCGGCTGTATGTGCGCAGTCCCCAGCCAGAAATGTCCAAAAAGTCGGTAAGAGTAT